TCAAAGTTACAGCAGCACTGAAAAAAGTGACTTATTTTTACACTTAGGACCGTTGCATCCCCATGGTCACATGATCAAAATCCAGACACTTGACAACTGGCTCATATTTATGATGGCTGCAGTGTTCTGGGGTCCTGTGATCCCTTTTTGCAACCTTCTGACAAGCAAAGTCAGTGGGGGAAGCCACTTGACAACCGTGTTACCAAACAACGGCAGTGATTCACTTAACAACTATGGAAAGAAAATGGGACAGAACTCATTTAACAACTGCCTTGCTCAGCAACAGAAAATTTGGGCTCAATTGTGGCTGTAAGTCAAGGATTAGCTGTACAGCATTCTTGGCGTAGTCTTCCTGTCCCTTGTATGCTACATGCTCATTATGCTGTCCACTAACTGCTTGCTGCCACAGAGGTGTGTTGCAATGAAGCAAGCACCAGCTTGTCCTGTGAAGACACAGTAGGATGTGAAGCGCCTTGGCAGGCTGCCTCTCTGGTCATCAGGAACATTTCCCAAGAACACATGAATGCAGTGTATTGAGAAAGGACAACCTACGCTTGGGTTTCCTTTTTCCTGCAATATCCCAGAATGGAGGTTGGTCTGCCTATGTTAATTCAAAGCCTGCCTTTATATCTGAGTAAGAGCTCATTAAGTTTCAATGGAGCCCTAGGGAAAAATGTCATAAAAACAAGTGCTGGAAATACAGCTGGGCTGTTATAGTATTGATTAAGCAATGCAGCAAGTAAATGTTGTTACAATGCAAAAAGCTTTTAAAAATCAGTATAGCAAATGGGAGAGGGTTTTATTTTTAACTAAGATGTTTTAGCAGTGGTTTGTAGGATTGCTCATGGGGTGGGAGAACTTTCAAAAAGTGCATTTATGTATCAGCTGCTATCAACAGATCAGACTGTTAATCAAGATTGGTGTATTTAGTTGATTTATATACGACTCTTAATGTCTGTTAAGTAGACGGTTGCCCATTAACTCAAGTTTTACTGTGGATTATGCTATTTATGTCCATCAAATGGTATAAATCTATAAATAATGCACATTTGGATTTAATAGACATACCCGATTTCAAATTATCAGTTAAATCAAGGTTTAATTAATTTTTCTTCTGCCCTCATAATACCTATATTTAGCCAATAAGGGAGAAAATCTTTTCACTTTGCCATCTATTCTCCTAAGCCATGTTTTACAAAATGAGACTGACTGACTTGTGAAGAAAAGATAACTTGGGGTAGCCCAGCTATCATGCTTTTTTTCCTTTAATCATTGAAATAAACTTGCAAAATAGGCAACATGGCAAAGAACTTACAAAAAGCAAGGGAATTTTGGATTTAACGGCAACTTGAATTTCAACTTGACTTGGCAACTGGCTCGCATTTATGATCGCACATTGTGCTTGTAATGTTCTCCAGTCATGTAGTTGTGATTTGTGTCACTGTCAGCTGGTTTCCGGCAAAAAATATCAGTTGGGGAAGCTTAATGTCTATGGTGATTTGCATAATCATGGTAAAAATGATCATAGAATTGGGTCTGGATACGTGATGATTCACTTTACAACTGCAGTGACTTAAGACATAAATTCTGGTTCCAACTGTCCATAAATTGACAGCTACTAATACATGCTTCTAAGACAAAATTAAAGATTTCATCAAAGTGAAAATATCTACTAAAATATGTGAATATAAAATGACTGCAATAAAGTCTAGAACAGTTAATGGAAGATAATAGCAACCAAGATTTGATTGTCATCTCTCCTCTTGAAAGCAGCTTTGACTTTTATTAACATCTCAGAAACATCAAGGTAGGGAGATATATAATTCAAGATAGCAATTAGGCTTATGCAATCACTCCCCCCTTTTGATATGCATCATAGGCAATGGGATACAAAAAGAGGCTGAGCTTTAATCACAGCCACATCTTGATATATATTTTTTGATCCTCCTAGTGGATGCTTCTGATTTGGTGATAAAGGCAAAAATTCCCTGCCATGAGAAGCTAGACTTCTAGGGCAGTGTTTCCCAAACTTGACAATTTTAAGGCATGTGGACTTCAACTCCCAGAATTCCACAGCCAGCGCTGGCTGTGGAATTCTGGGAGTTGAAGTCCACATGCCTTAAAATTGTCAAGTTTGGGAAACACTGTTCTAGGGCATCTGCTTCTTAAAACAAATTAATACACATAAGCTGCAGAAACATGGTAGAACTAGTAGCCATTGATTAACTGATTCATGTATTTATGTAAACAAATCCTGAGTTAGAAAGTTCCATATAATTATTATATAAAATATGAATACCTCTGCCTGTTTTGTACCTCCCACTGTTCAGCTTTGTTTGATAACTACAGCCGCAAGAATGAAAGGATAAAAGCAGTAAAAGAATGATTTACTTCACCTTGGAAATGCTCCAATTTCAGAAGCAAAAGAGAAAATTTTATGTTTTGTTTTCCTTATGCCTTGCTTTCCCAACCCCCCCCCCTCCAATTAATAGGAGGGAACTGATTTATGCTAGTTGCTGAACAGGCAGGTGCAACACTTGGGTTTAGAAAATTTGCCCTGACGTTTGAAGGACTGAATCTACTAATTTTTCCCATTTCCATCATTGGAATTTGATGCTAGAAAAGAGCCACGGTCATTTCTCTTGGATTCTCCTGCAGGCAGCTCTCTGCCCATGTTTAAAGATAGATATGTCTGAACAAATTTATCTTCAGTATAAGCTTTTGTGTATGCAGCTACCTATAAAATACACAAACATTCTGTATCTCTGTGTTGACACAAACATGGACTAAGATATTAACAGTAACTTTGACAACATGGAATTAAGTCTCTCTGGATTTAATCAGACGTAGTGCTAAGTAGTCAAATGCTGTATTGGTTATCTTTAATTTGCCATCACATTCTCAGACTAAGATATTTAGAAAATCCTAATCTGGGCATTTTATTCTGTCAAGAACACAATGAGAATTAAGTTACACTGGGCAGCATTCTAAGCAAGGTCCAAATACTAAATCTTAAATTCTGTATCCAAAGAGTGGACTTAACATTTTTTGATTACTGGTAATCCTAGACTTAAAACAGTTCATTTAGTGACTGTTCAACATTACAATGGCACTGAAAAAAGTGACCTATGACCGTTTTTCACATTTAAAGACCATTGCAGCATCCCCATGGTCAAAATTCAGACACTTGGCAACTGGTTCATATTTATAATGGTTGCTGTTTCCCAGGATCATGCTTGATCACCTCTTGAGACCTTCTGACAAGCAAAGTCAATAGGGAAGCCAGATTCACTTAACAACCGTTTTAATAACTTAACAACTGCAGTGATTTACTTAACAACTGTGCCAAAGAAAGTCATAAAATGGGGCAAAATTCACTTAACAATTGTCTTGCTTAGCAACAGAAATGTTGGGCTCAATTATGGTAATTAAACTGAGGACTATCTACACTGTATTTCTCTCAAATTGCTTACAAAATGAAGACACACCTTCCCTCTTCTACCCTACCCACGTTTTACAACTCTATAAACATGTCCAAGCTCTTAGGTGTGCCTCAATAGACTTTGTTAAAATCCTGGCACATGGATCTTGTGACACCAATAAAATTTGTTTTCCTAAATAAGAGGATATAAAATGCAGAGAACTATGCCGCTTATTGACAGGACTTCTAACATGTGCTCTTAAGAAAAGCTAGTTTAAGGCTGCCATCTCCCGCTTCTGCAGTAAATTGCAGCAATAAAAATAAATCACACATGCATTATAGTAATTCCGCCCCCTACATACACTAAACAGCAGCTATTGTCAAGAGCAAAATAGTATGCTCTTCTATATACAAAAAATGTTTTTCTTCAGGGTAAAATTATATCTACCAAATAGCTAATTACTGGTTAATAAAATATTATGCATACACATTTCTCAAAAGGAAAACAGTAACATTTGGGAGCTCCTTAAGTTCCTAACAAATCTATGATCATCAAGGTTTTGTGGATCACAGGCTTTTCATCAGATGTATGGAGTACAGCACAGTAAAATATAGAACTGATTTTATCCAGCAGTCCTTTCCCTTCCAACTTTTGTGACTTCATTTTTACAATCGTATACTTTATTACCTAACGAATCTGACATTGCAGCCTTTCTAATCTTCAATATAACTGCTATTCTAAACTGCATTACTATACCCACACTGCCTAAGAAATCAAATGGAGTTAACAGTGTCTTCATTAACCTTTGATTAAAATTACTTCAAGATGGCTCAAGAGAAAACAATAAAGTACAAATATTAGAAACAGAGAAATGAAAAACAGAACTGAGAGGCAACAAGAACAGAGCAACTGCCAAGAGGAAGCTATTGCTTTACGGGTTCTGGTTAGCCAACCATCCTACAAGACCGGATCTGACTCAGAAAATGATAATTCTTTGGTCAGTGAAGACCAAAAAATCTGGGAAGAGTAAACTAAACCGTAAACCAGTGTTTCTCAACCTTGACAATTTTAAGGCATGTGGACTTCAACTCCCAGAATTCCACAGCCAGCAATGCTGGCTGTGGAATTCTGGGAGTTGAAGTCCACATGCCTTAAAATTGTCAAGGTTGAGAAACACTGCAGTAAACTAAACTGAACTAAATTCAGCTTCACCTAACCCAGTATATTCCAGATGTTAAATGGAAAAAGGCCGTGATGCCCCCCTTAGATCAAAGGATTGCAGCTGAGGAGTCATTTCAAGAGGGGTTGCACTACTGCAGTAGGTGTTTTATATCTGCACCTTGCGCCCCATTAGCTTGATACTCTGGTAATAGGCTGTCTCTTTTTACCGGCTCTACTTTGATACACTATTATTAAAAGAATTGTATAACACCCCCCCCTTTGGAATATAAAACAAACAATGCCAACAAGCAGACAACCTCCCCACCCACCCCGTTGCTTTGACCAGAGCGACGTCGGCATTCGAATGGGTTTCCGCCACAAGCGGCAGCCACAGCGGGAAAGCAACAAGCCTGGAACACGCGAAAACCCGCGATATCTCAAAGTAGAGGCCTCCTCGCGCCGCCCGGGCGGCTGCGGAAGCTTCCGGTTGCCTCGGTGGTTTGCTCCCTCCCGTGCATGTTTCAGCCGGCTTGGAGTCTGCGCGGTTCAGCAGTGGGTGGGAGCTGCCTAACTGGCTTGGCAAGGCCGAGGCGTGTATCTGTTTCGGCCGGGTAGGAAGGAAGGGGCACGGGGCGTTTTGTTAAGCTGGTTCGGCCGTGTCTCTCCCGCTACTTCTCTTGTTTCAGTCGTGGCGGCTTTGACGGCCTTGCAAGTCAACCTTTCTTCGGCATTCAGTCACTCTTAAAGATCTGCTGATTTTCCAGTCGCCCGTCTCGTTGCTCTTTTCTTTTTCCCCGGTTCCGGTTCGCCGTCTTTTTTCAGTTTACCTTAAACTCTTCTCTCGAGGTGCCCTTCTTTCCAGCCATCTTGCAACTGCCTGTTGTCCATTTCACCAGCTATCTCAATTTCTCAGTTGAGTGTGAGCGGCGCCCTTGTGGATATCCTGCGGACTAGCGCCTTTGCCCTGTGGCTTTCAAACTACTAACTCTTAAGCCACTTCTTGCAGCCTGGTGCCCTCCAGTTGTGTTAGACTTCAGCTCCTATTAGTAGGTGCATTGATATCACAACGGTACACCGTGGTCAGCGTATTTGAGGGTCGAAATGGGGGGGTACCTAGATTCAAGTCCTTCTCCATCCCAAGAGCTTATTTGCTTGTCCCAAAACTCAGCCTAATTTATTTCTCAAGATTATTTTGAGAATCTGATTAGAAGATAAGAATGTGTATGCTGCTTTGAGCTGTGGAAAGATAGATCTAATTATCGGTCATGCCTCCATTTTTTTAATTCCCTGTGGCATACCATAGGAATGGAAATAAAGGTAACTCTTTAACTTAGAAACAATGGAGATGGGTTTGGTTTTGTTGCTTCAGAAGATTAACATTTATCATGGCGAAGTCTTTCATGTACTATAATCCACTTTATGAACTGAGTGCTAATCCACGTAATAAATATTTGAGAGTGTTTTCAAGTATTGTACTACAAATCTTTTTTCCATAACCGATTAGCTTTCTGGAAACTTAGTTTGATCTGCAGGAATCTTAAGGGCATAATTTGTGGTGAAACTAGATTGTGCAGGATTGTTTGTTTTATTTTTTAATTCCAGGTTCTATTAAAAAACCTCAGTTTTTAGAAGCAAAATACGCTGTAACTATCAGTGTTCCCCTTAAAACACAAACCTAATAACTTTTAGCAGTAAACCTCAAGTATTGTTTTGGTTTAGTTTACCTGCCTGCCACTGAGGTAAGGTTTAAACCTGTGAAACGCACTTTCTTCATGCATTCCATTATTTATTGCAAAGAAGTAAAAATGAAGTTATCTTTAAATATTTTTTCTGAAATTTGAAAGCATCCAGAGCTATTATGTGCCTTTAGTGACAACTACAACATATGCTGTCTATGCTTCTTATTTTTGCTTTATTAAAGTGTGAATTCCATTGTCTGTGCAGCCAAAACTGTATCACCTACCCCCCCCCCCAAAGTATCTGACGACTTATGATGAAAATTGACGTGTGCAGAAACTGAAACCTACTGTGCAGGAAAAAAGCAAAGTGGAAAGGAGGGAAGACCCGGCTTTAATTTTGCTGCTTATCCCTGTTTCCCATCGATGTTCAGAATCACAACTACATTAGACTTTTGTCTTATTTTTATATAGAAATACTGAACACTACCCTGTGTTTCAGTTCATGCATAGTCAAAACTGCACTCACCCTGCACATAAAGGACTACGGATATTCTTAGGTGGGTAAACTTCAAGGACTTTAAAGCATTGCAAACTAACACTAGAAGCAGAACTGAATTCTCCAATGAGACAAAGGTTGGACAGAGAAAAGCCTTGGGAAAGTGAAGCAAAAGGGGATGTGAAATTAATTATTTGGAAAAGAATGTAACTGGATATAACACCAAACAGGAGAGTTTTGTACTACAACATTTTCTTGCTGGATATATTGATAGTAAAAACTTATTTGGTAACATACTTTGATTTGTCTTTATTTTAGAATGAGACATGGCTGAAGATCCTCAGAGAAATTTCCGATCCGTGTACTATGAAAAAGTAGGATTTCGTGGTGTTGAAGAAAAAAAATCATTAGAAATTCTTTTGAAAGATGATCGGTTGGGTATGTGCAATATACTATATAGTATAATGTTTACAGTTGCTAAGGATGTGTTTTAATTTTTGGCAGAATTACCTTTTATGGCTTTCAGTTACTCTGTGGATTCTGAATTTCTCTAACAACGGAATATCCATTTTCCCCAAAGCCTAAAATAATATTACAGCAAGGTAGAAATGAGAAATATTTTTTTCTCTCCATTTTCAACCTTTGAAAATATTCCATCTTAAGTATTTTTCAGAGGAAAATCCTTTTAAGTCAGTCTTCTGCTCAAATTAAGAATAGTAGATGAGGATAAGTCTTGACTGAACTATTGTAATGTAATTACATGGGGCCGTCCAGAATGATGTGCATGTGTCAAAATAACAAGAGTTGGAAGGCACCTTGGAGGTCTTCTAGTCCATCTCCCTGCCCAAGCAGGAGACCCATACCATTCTGGACAAATGGCTATCCAATCTCTTCTTAAAAACCTCCAGTGATGGCTCACCCACAACTTCTGAAGGCAAGCTATTCCACTGGTTAATAGTTTCCCCCTTAGTTCTAGGTTGGTTCTCTCCTTGATTAGTTTCTATCCATTGTTTCTTATTCTTCCTTCTGGTCCCAAAGGTGCTTTTATTTTAAAGCAGTGTTTCTCAACCTTGACAATTTTAAGGCATGTGGACTTCAACTCCCAGAATTCCACAGCCAGCAATGCTGGCTGTGGAATTCTGGGAGTTGAAGTCCACATGCCTTAAAATTGTCAAGGTTGAGAAACACTGTTTTAAAGGCACCTGGACTTTCTGATTTTTCTTTTTCGTTTCTCATCCAAGAAGCTTCAGTTCTAACCAACTGGATGGGCGGGGAGGAAATGGGAGAGATTCATACTTTCTGCAACCAGGCAGTTGTTAACCTTCTGAGGGCTATTGAAACTATCTAGGGGCCAATCTGTGTCCTCAGAGTCACCTGAATCAGAATGCAAATAAGTGTGGAACCATCTTGGGATTGCTGAAAGGACTGCATTGTAAACAGGTGATAGGTAGTGTCAGCAGAGGGGGCATATGTTCTCTGGAGAGCCATTTGTTCTAGTGCCAGGGTTCCGGTGTCAGTATTGATTAGAGCTGCTTCATAACATTGTGAAACACAGTTTTTATATCTTTATTTACAGATATTGAGAAGCTTTGCACATTTAGTCAAAGGTTTCCTCTCCCATCGATGTATCGGATGTTGGTATGGAAGGTGCTTCTAGGTATGGAAATTGATAAAGACCAAATGCTTGCTTATAAATAACAAGGGTGGCTTTGCCGATCTGCTGGCAGTTGTACTCCCCGATAAAACCTTGCAATAGATGCCTTAGCTAGCAGGTGTATCCGTTAAAATATATTAAGAAGTGGTGCTAAGCAATATTTTACTTTAACACATATAAAGTGAAATTTCCAATAGTTTGCTTTGGTTCACCTGGGGTATTTAGGAAGGAATCCTGCTTTTTTTTTTCTCTGAAAGTATTCTAACATTGCTCTATTCTAGATTTTTTAAGGTGGGTCTAGGAAAAAATTGCTCTTTGAAATTTTCAGAAAGCTACTCTCAGTCAAAATAAGCAATTGTGGTTTTTAATCAATTTCCCAGTCCTGGCTTCTTTCGGATATGTTGGAACTGTAAATTTCAGATTCCCAACTACATCTGTAGCTGAAGTGGGGAAGACTGCCCTATGTAGTCTCACTGGTTTGTTTCCTAAAAACAAATACATGGTAAAAATATTCAGTAACTTTGTTAATAATTAGGGAGACTTGGACTGTGCTTGGAACTTTTTGTATAAAAGCTTTATTCTGTGATTAATCCTAAATCAGTCATACCTAAGTCCCTTTGCATATATGTACATATATTTATAGGGAGTACTCCAGTTAATTTAAAAACAAGTACATGAATGAGTCTTACTTTTTAGCTAATTCCTCCTGTACACTGCCTTCAGCAAGAAAACTGTCCTTGTAGCTTGTTAGTGGAGACATTCAAGAACATTTAAGCAGTGCTGTGACCATTTGGGTCATCCTTTGAGAGAAGGGTAGTGTACTCTGATGTGACCAGAATGAATATGAAATTTTAGGTTGACCATATTTTTTTATCCTAATGGTGCACAGTCCTGTAATTGTCTAAAAAGAGTATAAGTGGAATAATAATTGTAGCGGCAAATGAACTTCAGTAGTAAGTCAATATTTATTTACCTAAAAAGATAATGGGTGGGGGAAAAAAAACGGTGGGAGCAGAAGTGACTTCTAACTATCTGCCAGTTTCCCTATTGATTTGGCTGGTCACGTGTTCACAATTGTGATCACGGGGATGCTGCAGTGGCTGCAATTTTGCAAATAAAACTGGTATAAACATTGTGGAAATTTCAATTCCACAGGAATAACGAGTCTTGGATTTTTAACGTATGTTAAGTACCTTGATTCAAAAATTGCTGCAATATAATGCATAGTTTGGGCTAACTTGAAGATAGACACAAACTTATAAGCACAATGAGAATTTTAGTACTTTATGGATAGCAAACTAGTGTTTGCAATAATAGGCCAAAGCATTTCTTATAAACAAATGCTAGATGCTAGATCTTTTTTTATTTGATCTGAGAATAATTGGTACGAAGATGAATGTTTCACCCTCAGAGCAAGTAGACTTAATCTAAATCTCTCGTTTTCTCTTTTTCTTTAAAGGAATTCTCCCACCTCACCATGACTCTCATGCATTTGTGATGAAATATAGAAAGGAACAGTATAGGGACGTATACCGTGCTCTTCAAGTAATTCGCTTTATCACAGATTCTACTCCACAGGTTGAAATATTCCTCCGGATATATCAGTTGGAATCAGGAAAGCTAACTCAAAACCCATCTTTTCCTTTGGTTAGTGAAGGTTAATTTTGCTTTTGATAAGATTTTTATACACAAACTGAGTTTTTTTTTCTGTCTGAGACTTGAGTGCTGCTATGGCTGTTCAAAACATGTTGGTATTTGCAATAATATGACAGCGTCATTTGTATATAGCAATATAGATTCAGGTTTGTTAGCCAGTGTGAGGGCATGAAACTTTTGCTTAGGGCAGAGATGGAGAACTATGGCCCCTTTATGACTTGGGGACTTCAACTCCCAGAATTCCTGAGCTAGCTCAGGAATTCTGGGAGTTGAAGTCCCCAAATCACAAAGGGGCCATTGTTCCCCACCCCTGGCTAACGGCATTTCCCATTGCATTGATATAATTAAAAAGAAATATACCTTTGAGTAACCCCTTTGTTGGCCTCTGTGTTTGAAACTGCCTGACTATAGTCTGACTTACCCTCAAATTGGTATTTTTTTTACAAAGTGCGTGTAATGGGCTGAGAACAAATAGTCTTCTGTTGAAGTTGCCAATAGGGACTGGAATTTCTTCACTAAGTGATAAAGTCATAAAGTACAACAACATGCAACTGTACCAAGATTCCTGCATTTCTGGTTGCTATTGTTAAGGGAATCTCACCGTGTTGTTCACTGCAATGTCACATGGTTGCCATTCACACTATTGACTTTGCTTATTGGAAGTTGGCAGTGGAGGTTAAAAATGGCAATTACATGACCATCGGACACTGCAATGATGTAATTGTGATTCAGTCACTAACATAAATACAGGGCCACTGCAACTGTGATTCCTCGCCAGTCAGTGGATCCGGCAGCTGAGTCTGAGGAATAAGATGAGGAGGAGGGGCCTGGAGTGACATTAGAGTCAGAGGAAGGCTTTGAGGAGCTCCAAGACTTACAGTCGGACGAGGAGCCTTGCCCCTCTATTCGCGCTCAAGCTGAGACACAGCTGTGCTGGGAGCCTGAGTTGGACAGTGATGAAGAACAATTGGGACAAATCCAGGATGCACGAAAGCGCAGGCAAGAGAAGCGAGTAGGACAGAGGAATGCAATGGGGCGGCTCCAAAGGCAAAGGAGAAGGCATTAGGAAGCCACGCCTTGGTTGAATTATAAAAGGGAAGGTGTGGGAGGTGTGTTGAGGATCGAGTTTCTGTGGACTGTGTTTGTTTGCCTTGGACATTGACTCAGGTCTGTGAGAATAAAAGGGGTTGTTTTTTTTCTTGCGGTTCTTGGAAGAGGGGTTTCTCCTTGTGAGCATCACAAGGACTCACGTAGGCTGGGACAGAACAGCAATAGCCAGAACTTCAAAGACCAGTTGTAAGTGTCACTCTTCCAGAATGGTCGTAAGTTCAAATGGTTGTTGAAGGTAAATGAGGACCACCTGAAATCATCTATCAATCATACTTTCATTTTTGACTTATAGTAACCAATCTTCAGGGCCCAAGTAAAACTTGTTCCTCTTCCATAATGTCTTTTAAACACAGTCTATCTACAGAGGCAGACAGTCTTAAAATTATCTTCTGGGTCCATTGTTCAAAAATACTTTTCAAAACGTCCTATGTTTAGAGAACCAGTTTGGTGTCGTGGTTAAGGAATCGGGCGGCTAGAAATCAGGAGACTGTAAATTCTAGTCCCACTTTAGCCACAAAGTCAACTGGGTGACCTTAGGCCAGTCATTGTCTCTCAGCCCTTGGTCAGAGGCAGTGGCAAATTGTTTCTGAAAAACGTTGCCAAGAAAACTGCAGGAACTTGTCCAGGCTGTGTCCAAGAATCGGACATGATGGAACGAAAGAAAACAAACCTTTATATGTAAAACTTCTTTTCATTAAACAAAACTCTCCCTGTGCTATAAAATCTGCCCATCCAAAGGTTCCTACTAACTGAAAAGCAGTTAAGCAATTTCTGAAAGGGATTAGGAAATGATGTAAACCAACCCAGTGTCCTTTTGAAAGCACTGGCCACAATATGAGAAAAAGATGGCTATGTCCTCATTTCCCAGCAACTCCAAATCCACTGCTATCACATCCTCGCTCCATACCTGTCTGGAGCATTTGTGGGCCATCTCAAGCCCCTCTCCTTGTTCGGAGAGTAATTATGAAGAGCTGGGCTACTTGCCAGCTCTTCTACTGAGAACATCAGCTCCACTTTTAGCCAAATCATTTTCAGTTCACCATTTCTTCTCAGAAGTCCTGTAGCTTTGCTGATTTAGTGCACATTTGTACCAAACACGTTGCTATTAGTGGGAATTTGATTGCAAATTTTTAACTGAATGTATGATGCCCATGCGGTCTTTCTCTGATTCTCTGCCATGCCCCCTTTATTTTCTAGCAATCTGAAGATGAGATATTCCTTGCTATTGCTAAAGCAATGGATGAAATGGTGGAAGATAATGTTGATTGCTACTGGCTAGTCAGTAGTTTTGTGAACCAGTTAAACAATAAGTACAAGGAGTCATTACCGCAGCTGGTAAGAAAATAAGTGTATATCTGCAGAACTGCACATACGAGCTTATGTCCAGTATAGAAATGGGATTGCAGGTACAGGTAAGTCCTTGACATATGATCACAATTGAGCCCAAATTTCTGTTGCTCAGTGAGGACAGTTGATAAGTGAGTTTTGCCCCATTTTACAACCTTTCTTGCCACAGTTGTTAAGTGAATCACGTTAAGTGAATCACTGCAGTTGTTTAGTAATAGAGTTAAGTGAATCCGGCTTCCCCGTTGACTTTGCTTGTCAGAAGTTTGGAAAAGGTGATCATATGACCCCAGGATACTTCAACCATCATAAATATGAGTCAGTTGCCAAGCATCTGATTTTTGATCACCTGCCTGTGAGGATGTTGCAATGGTCATAAAATGTGAAAAATGGTCTTAAGTCACTTTTTTCATTGCTCTTGTAACTTTGAATGGTCACTAAATAAACTGGTGTAAATCGAGGACTACCTGTATATAATTGATAATATGTATCATACTTACTGTTAGAGATAAGGAAAATATACATTTAAAATTACATGCAAACACTTGGGCGAAGCAAAGATAGTTATAATTATATAAGGTAGTTTCTGGCTATGGGCTGTTGGTTTTAACTAATTTCACATGAGATATCAATGCAAACATTAAAAAATTTGCCATGATTGACTCCTGCTGTTTGCTTGTCTTGTAGGCTTTATATTCACTGTCTGTAACATGACACTTTTTAGTGTCACGTTAGCCATTTCCAATTTTTGTTGTGGATTTATGTAGTTATAAAACACTGATGTGTATATTTACATTGAGTTTGTGCATATGGAAACTTTATAATGGACTTCATTGAATCCTTTATCAGCACCACATTATTTTGCATTTGTTATAATCGGTGAATTCAGAATTGTGGTAGCAGAAAATAATTTCTGTAAGTCCAATCTACTTATCTGTACTCTGTGACACTTGCTTCTGGTAAGGTATTATAGAAATATATATCATGGTTTTGAAGAAGACTGAAGAATTGTGATCTAGATTGGAGAAAATAGAAAATAGTATAGTAGGAGATTGTTTGGCCTTGGCTTAGTGTGTATGTGTGATCTCCTCCAGTGACAGCGCACTACTGAGAGATTGGAAATAAGCTGATTATTTCAGACAAGATGAATCGTAAAAGGTAGGATAACTGAAAAAATGTTCCAATCTCATAGCAAGCACTTTTATTTTAATTATGTATACTGTATGTATGTATGCACACACACAAACACACACAAAACGTACTGGTCAGCTTCTATCAATTCTTGTTGATGATTTCTGTTACAATTCATAATCTTGAGCATTGCCTGCAAAACTAAGAGGCTGCAAAAAAGTGACAGCAGAGATTGGGTTTGTCATAATATGCTATGATTTATTGTGATAAGTGAGCCAGTTTCCTGCTGGGCTTCACATGCACCCTGTTTCCTTTTGCACACCTGCTAGGAGTAGATTGCAAACCTTCACATTCAGTTTTGATTAACTATATTATATTGTTGTACCTGAACTTTAAAAATGTGCTAACCTTTACTTGGTTTGGAGGTTATTTCAAGTGAAAGCAAAATTTTAAATTGCCGTGGTGATTTAAAGTGATTTTCCTTCTGAATCAGCTCCAGGGGTTGAGAATTGGAGGCACTGTTTTCCAGTGATATCTTTCAATCCGAGACTGGCAGAGTGAGGCAGTCAAAGTCCAGCCCTAGGGACTGGTGGCTAATGTAGGCCAGGATGGGGATGGATGGGAGCACGTTTAAATTCAATTTAGCAATTTAATTGTTAGGGCTGCCTGGATCTAGCAAGATTCCTAGTGATCTTGGGTGGAGGTGCATCGCCTTACTTGGGTGGTGCCCAATCCAAGGGTGTTGTTGGACTCACAGCTCCTGCCTGATGAAAAGGTAGCAACAGGAAGGCCTTTAGGCAGCTTCACCTGGTACAACAGTTGCACTCTTTCCTGGTTTAGGAAGCCCTTCAAGCTGGATCACTCATGCTGTAGTCCAGGGATGTCAAACTCAATTTCATTGAGGGCTGCATCAGCATTGTGGTTGCCCTCGGGGGGGGGGCAGGTGGGTGTGGCCAGGGTGGGTGCAGCCTACTGAATGGGCGTGGATGGAGTGGGTGTAGCCTACTGAGTGGGCATGGCCAGCTCTACATCATTCGCATCAATGGTGCCTGGGGGGGCCTGGGCAGGAGTGGGACAGATCTGAGGGTCTCTGGCAGAAGGGGGTGGGACCAGGACCACTTCCAGGTGATGATGCATTTCTTCATTCCTCACAAAGGGTGACACCTTGCCAGCATGCACCCAGGGGGTGGGACCGACACGGCAGGGGCTGTTTCCTCGCTGTTTCCAGATGGCCTTGTGGAGCTAAGACTGAATGCGTTTCAGCATAGATGGCCACCACAAAATTGTACGTTGGCTCCCTCCCTCCCTCCCGGCCGGCCAGGGCTAGGGCCAAGGCAGTGGGGGCCGTTCCCTCACTTTCCAGGATGGCTTTGCGGGCCACATGAAACCACTTTGTGGGCCGCATACGGCCCCTGGGCCTTGTGTTTGATATGTCTGCTGTAGTCACTCACATCTTGTCTATTGCAAAAGCACCTTTGAAAAACACTTGGAAGTTTCAGCTGGTCCAAAATCCAGCAGCAGAGCATCACTTACATGCCCGATTCTGGATGTAATTCAAGGTGCTGGTTATGTGGTTATAACCTATAAAAAAACCTATACAGGTAGTCCTCAACTTATGACCACCATGCCCCAATTTCTAAGCAAGACGGTTGTTAAGTGAATTTTACTCCATTTTACAACCTTTCTTACCACTGTTGTTAAGTGAATCACTGCACTTGTTAAGTTAATAACATGGTTATTAAGTAAAACTGGCTTCACCATTGACTTTGATTGACAGAAGGTCGCAAAAGGTGATCACGTGATCCCAGGATACCGCAACCACAAATACATGTCAGTTGCCAAGTGTCCAAATTTTGATCATGTGACCACAGGGTTGTTTATATTCATGAAATGCACCTGGAAGGCCTGACTGGGGGGAGGGGGGGACAAGGGTGATTCTTAAATTGTGACCAGTAATTTTGAAAATGTGTGATACAGTCCTATATGCATGCGAAATGCATGTCGAAGCAGAGCCACTGAAATAAACACCCAAGTGATTAGCAGACAGAAATATCTTAATGTGTACTTTTCATTTTGTGATTCCTTTTTTTTAAACAAAATTGGTTCTGTAAAAGGATTCTCAAACGATGATGTATGTTTCTGACTTTTAAGAAAACATGCATGAAGTCGTTTGCTTTATATATAACACTAAATTTAATTTGAGAAATAGTTTTCTTTAAGGGTTGAGGTTCATTCTCCGAGCTTGTGGGTTGGCTTCCGAATGTTTTGTTAGCAGGCTAGGTAACATCTTTGGTGGAGCTTAGGGGACGTCAGTGTCAGTGTTTGTTTATAAGGGCTTTGTGTGGTCTTGTGATGGGGAAGTAACCTTCCTGTCACAAGACCTACCTACCACACACAGCCTTTATAAACAGAGGAACACTGACATTGACATCCTCTAAACTCCGCTGAAGATGTTACCTAGCCTGGTAACGAAACATTCGGAAACCAACCCACAAACTCTGAGAAAAAACTTCCACCCTCATCCTCCACCAGAGCTACAGATATTCACCACCATCACAAACAGTTTTGTTGCCACAAATATCTATGAACAAGACAAGTTTTAAAAAATGATTTTAGCACATTTCATTAATTCTTTTTCTATTCATGCTACTGCAGCCAAAACTTCTGGAACAAATCCTCAGCCTTGAGGACACCCGGCTTATAGCCCATCTGAAATTGTGTTCAGCCATAGGCCAACTTCCTTATAAACTTTGGTTTAAAAAGTGTTTTGCTGGATGCCTACCTGAATCGAGTTTACAAAGGCAAGTTTGTCTCCCTTCCCCCTCTCCCAGATTGGAAAAACTTAAATCCATGTAATCTTCAGTGGAGTATATGCCCAGGAATCACATAGACATAATGTTTTGACAGTCAGCAATATTGCCAGCATTCTGAAAAATGTCAATTTTTCAGCTTTTCCAGGAGTTGTTTAGCTTTTCTAGGCCTTTGCCAAATTTTGACTTTAATCATAAAGGAAAAGTATTGATAGTATGAATTATAGATGTAAAATTAAGAACAGATGATTTTATGACTGTCTCATTAAATTTTCTAGGGTTTGGGACAAGGTTATTAGTGGTTCTTGCAAAATCCTTGTCTTTGTTGCTGTTGAGATCTTATTAACCTTTAAAATGAAGTTGATGGCCTTGACTAGCGCTGAAAAGATTGAACAGTTTTTGGAAAATGTAAGTAGTTCATACATTTCTAAATTCTAAGAAAATGGTGCTTTAATTAAATTCAATAGTATTTTGAAGACCAAGGCCAAACATATTCAAGACTGCATTGTAAAATACCTCTGTATCTCAAGCTATGTTTTTATCTTTCATAGATACCTCAAGATAACACTGATGCAATTGTGAGCAAGGCCATTGAACTGTGGCACAAACATTGTGGGACCCCTGCTCATTCAGTTTGAAATTACCTGCATTTCTGTTTTTGACTGTTTCCCTCTCTGAAATATATAATTAAAGTTATTTAAAGATTGTGGGTACAGTGGTTGTAATTGTGATGTTTCACTCGTGTTGTAGAGGGTTGAAATCTATGACAACTCATAGCAGTCCCAGTTAACATTGTGAATGGTGAAGGATTCTGGAAGTTGTAGTTCATCAACATTTGGAAGATCACAGATTTCCTATGAGAAAAACCTCTACATATATACAGGTGAAACTCGAAAAATTAGAATATCATGCAAAAGTTCATTTATTTCAGTAATGCAACTTAAAAGGTGAACCTAATATATGAGATAGACCAGTGTTTCTCAACGTTTGTGTGACGGCGACCCCGTCACATGGACGCGGCGGCGCCCCCATGCGCGGCGCACATGCGCGGCGGCGCCCCCTGAGGGGGGGAAATGGCGGATTGCGTTGTTTGGCGACCCCCGTAAAATGGTCATTCGACCCCAAATGGGGTCGCGACCCATAGGTTGAGAACCGTTGAGATAGACTCATTACATGCAAAGCAAGATAGTTCAAGCCGTGATGTGTCATAAGTGAGATGATTATGGCTTACAGCTCATGAAAACCCCAAATCCACATTATCAAAAAATTAGAATATTATGAAAAGGTTCAATATTCTAGGCTCAAAGTGTCCCCTCTAATCAGCTAACACCTGCAAAGGGTTCCTGAGCCTTTAAATGGTCTCTCAGTCTGGTTCAGTAGGAATCACAATCACGGGAAAGACTGCTGACCTGACAGTTGTGCAGAAAACCATCATTGACACCTTCCATAAGGAGGAAAAGCCTCAAAAGGTAATTGCAAAAGAAGTTGGATGTTCCCAAAAGGCTGTATCAAAGCACATTAATAGAAAGTTATGTGGAAGGGAAAAGTGTGGAAGAAAAAGGTGCACAAGCAGCAGGGATGACCACAGCCTGGAGAGGATTGTCAGGAAAAGGCCATTCAAAAGTGTTGGGGACTTTCAGAAGGAGTGGACTGAGGCTGGAGTCAGTGCATCAATAGCCACCACACATAGACGGATCCTGGACATGGGCTTCAAATGTTGTATTCCTCTTGTCAAGCCACTCCTGAACAACAAACGTCAGAAGCGTATTAACCTGGGCTAAAGAAAAACAGAACTGGTCTGTTGCTCAGTGGTCCAAAGTCCTCTTTTCTGATGAGAGCAACTTTTGTATCTCATTTGGGAACCAAGGACCCAGAGTCTGGAGGAAGAATGGAGAGGCACACACTGCCAAAAGCACCAAAACCTGGTTCAATGACTATGGGATTACTGTGCTTGATTGGCCAGCAAACTCGCCTGACCTGAACCCCATAGAGAATCTATGGGGCATTGCCAAGAGAAAGATGAGAGACATGAGACCGAACAATGCAGAAGAGCTGAAGGCCGCTATTGAAGCATCCTGGTCTTCCATAACACCTCAGCAGTGCCACAGGCTATTAGCTTCCATGCCACACCGCATTGAGGCAGTAATTGCTACAAAAGGGGCCCAGACCAAGTACTGAGTACATATGCATGCTTATACTTTTCAGAGGTCCGATATTGTTCTATATACAATCCTTGTTTTTTTGATTGCATGTAATATTCTAATTTTCTGAGATTGTGGATTTGGGGTTTTCATGAGCTGTAAGCCATAATCATCTCACTTACGACACATCACGGCTTGAACTATCTTGCTTTGCATGTAATGAGTCTATTTTATATATTAGGTTCATCTTTTAAGTTGCATTACTGAAATAAATGAACTTTTGCACGATATTCTAATTTTTTGAGTTTCACCTGTATGTGTAACAAATACTTTTGGGGAAGAGGCTAACTGGGAAATGGAAAACCTAAAAGCAAAGTATTTAGAAAGTAAAGTTGTCAATTTAATATGGTGCTTATTTATTCTCTACTTACTGAGGTATTCAGCTGAACATGCTCCTTTTTATCATGCAGATTCTTCTAGATTTGAAGAAGGGAGTATGTGGGCCATAGCAGTTCAATAGCACAACCTCTTACCCTTAGTATAATAGGTCCAATCTCTGCCTAAACTAAATGCAATAAATTGGCAGAAGTTCCTCTTAACACATCTCGGTTTCTGTAAAAAAAAAAAAAAAGACTATGTGCAAATCAGCCAATGTACAAGAAGGGGACAATGGCTGTTGGTGTTATAAAAAGGCCCAATTAAAATGCTTTGGGTGTTTTTCATGGTTGGCACACTACATTGAATTATAAGCTAATCAGGTAGGCTGGGTTTGCACAACATTGCTAAGGCATGAAACAAATCAAGGTAAAATTAAACATTATATCAGAGGTCCTCAACCTTTTGGGCACCAGGGACCAGTTCCGTGGAGAAAGGTTTTTTTGCAGACCGGAGAGCGTGGTTTTTTGTGCTGCCTGCACCTCGCAGATGGGGCTTTGCTTGTTTGTGCCGCCTGGTTGCTGGCATGCTGTGGCCCAGGGATTGGGGACCCCTGCATTATATCACTGCATCTGCTAGGACTTTATCTGACCTAGTTAAACATTTTGGGTGAAGATCTTTGCAGTGTGCATCCAGATCGTGACCGTGTGATTGCAAATGCGCTGGGATGTCTGGAACTCCAGTGATGGTTGTAATCACCATTCATTCAGTGCCATCATTACTTGGAATGGTCACTGGCTGAATGGTTAAGACATTGAGTACCTGTAAATTGTGTATTTGGGATTTAATCCTTTATCCTGTTTTCATGAATATACTTTTTCCTTCTGTTTTATATTAATTTAATAATTGGAAATCTGTCCAGTCTGTTTTTCAGAGATTTTGACTACATAATGTTTCCTTTGAATTAGTTCACCGTCCAACTTCTGGTCTCTCTAGAGAATTGTATTTTCTTTTATATTTCTCTTTCTTAAACTAATTTGTAAGCTGCTGAATGAGCATGATCTGGACAGCTCTGTAATTACCCTCCACCTTGAATGTCTACCTTTTCGCACTACATTTTCAAAATAAGCTTTACATTTTACATTTTCTGTTTTTAATAAAGTTTGATTCTATATATCTCTGGTGGAATTGGTTTGTCTCTCAAAGGGAGAAGAAGGGTTGAATCCTCCAGCCACCATCGCTCTACCCTATGCAGCAAGGAAATGGCATTATGTAAATTATTTGAACTTTTTCTTTTGATAAAGGGCAACGTTGGAAGTGACTGCTTTTTCCCTCTCATGCCAAGACTAAGAGTTGTATATCAAATGAGGTAATTATCCCTTATTCTACCCCAGAAGATGGACTGTGGCAGCAGGAATTATCAAGCTGCTAAACCAACAGAGGAAATAGGATCGGAGTTTGAATATCCAGAGATAGCAATAGGACTTAGACTTAAATACCGCTTCACAGTACTTTACAGCCCTCTCTAAGCGGTTTACAGAGTCAGCGTATTGCATCCAACAATCTGGGTTCTCATTTTACTGACCTCAGAAGGATGGAAGGCTGAGTTAACTTTGAGCCAGTCTGGATTGAACTTCAGGCAGTGAGCTGAATTAGCCTGCAAGACTGCATTCTAACCACTGCACCACCACAGATGATCTGGAAAAGGTTTTAGGACCTCCAGCCACCAGCGATTCATAATAGAATGGATTCATTTTTATTATAGAAAATAGAAAATGTATTGCCTTTCCATTCATATGCTTAAAATGCAGATTATTTTATGATTAAGGTGACATTGACAGTGCAAGCAACAAATTGTTTCTGACAATGGCTTGATCCCTTCTTTGAACCTTGTTTTCTTCCACAGCAGTACAAGACTACTCACTGTATCAAGCGTAAATTGCTATTTAAAAATAAGGTGCCAGACTAGTACAATGCAAATCTTTCTTCAGAGGCAGACTGTTCTCTTTTAATGTTCTGCAAAGGTTTTCACCTGAACAAATCTATTTTAAATTAGTGTATAAAGAGCTCGTAGAAGTTTTTCACAATGCTCAGAAGTCAAATATTGCCATGTGAATGCTAGTGGAAAGCTCATCACTCAGTTTTGCATACAAAGATTTAAGGATGGAAAGGCTTGTTTTGTGAAGTGTAATTAATTCAGTGATACATTTTTCAATCAATAACTGGCCAGGGCTAAGAGAAAGTACTAAAGGAGAAGACTTAGCAGGATTTGACAAAATAATTACTGCAGTTTTTTCCCAGTGAACTGAAACCACACTATGATTTCTGAAGAACTGGAAACAATGAAAAAAAAAATCTAAAATGTAAAAAAAACAAAATAGGATTGCTTAATCTCCAAAATCAATGACCAAATAGGTTGGGTTTTTTTTAAAATAAGAAAATAGCTGTTTTGTTTGGATAATTTAGCATTTAATCAAACTTTTTGTTTCAGGAGCATAAAAGGCCTCCAGGGAATCCATAAACCAGAAATGAAGACAACCACTACCAAACTATTCCTTTAAAATCTTTGCAAGCAGAGAAAAAAACACACCATCTATTCTTTATATTGACAAGGAATAGTACCACTAGTTGCCAGACATGAAATATAGCCCTGATTATTCAAGAAGGTTACAAGGAGCATACAGGTCTTTTAAATATTTTTTCCATTTTTTGTGTCAGTGGGTTTTTCTCCTTGGGATTATGTACACAATGTATGTAACAGCCCCTTAGCCTGCAGGACTCAAAAGAGGCCATTTGATCTAATCCTCTTTTAATGACATCTAGTCCTCAGTGCCCACCTTTGCATTCAACCTACAGTAGGTGGACAAGATGCAGTTCTGCAAAGGACTTCCACAGAGCTTTGTTTGATCCTCTGATCTAAGTATTGCTTTTTTGCAGCTTAGTTTTTGATTACTGAGCATCTCTGAACATGTAACAGACAGAAGGAAGAAAACCAGAGCATTTTTTTCTTTGAAACTTTTTTTTAAAGAAACTGCATACATCCAAGACAATTTAAATACCATGCAGTTTCAGTATGTACAAATTGAAACTCTAGATGCAGAGATTCACTTTAGTGTTTTCTCTAGATATTTACATTTTATCGTTTTTCATACAGCCATATTCTGTTAAATTACAATACTGGAAGATCACAGTCTTGACTGTCACCACATTCACTCCTATACAAAGACAAAACTATGTACATAAGTTTGACAGGAAGAGAGCCTGGGAAATGTACTGGTTTCAGAATAACTTGGAGAGCAACTGGAATTCCCATTTCTAATCCTGCAACCATTAAAGCTGCCTAATCAAGTTGGATGCGGGACTAACTTGCAACCCTGTGTGCCTTTTGCAAGATTTACAATCATTCTTTCATAGAGATTAAGGGGGGGGGGGGAATGGTTCCCCCAGGAGTGAAAAGTGGATGCTTGTGATACCAATGAAGGAGATGTTTGTGAGATCTTCATGTGAACAACAGAGGCTTAGAAATAAACTGAATATGCTAGGAAAAAGACTTTTCCTATCTCCATTTAAATAAAATACAGCCTACTTAAGCCCTGGTGAAATGAATAAAAGAGTAGGGCAACAACAATAGCTTATTTTTTGCCCATACCCATAGATTTCGGTGAGGAAAAGAGTTAAATTTGGCATAGTAATTGAGTATACTCAGTGTTTCACTGACTGTGTAGGAGAAACAGCTGACTGTGCTCAAAAAAACCCCAAAACATTATTCAATCTTCAAAAGTAAGCCATTTTTCACCAAAGAACTTCAGAGAATAACCAGTTATTTAACTTCTATCTTTTGAAAATGGACAAAAGAGTTTTGCCCAATTCAACGATTTGCTTGTATGGGTGGCAAGGATTGGAATAAAATATTTTGCACACAGAAACCTGAGAAGATTTGTATGCAGAAAGCAAAAACACCCTCCATTTTGGTAAGATACACCATATGGTTCCGTTGTATGCATTAGTTATGCCCTATTTCTTGGTTTCATTCATTTACCTACCTAGAAAGAATCAAGGAGTTACTATTCCTTGTGTCTTCCAGCATGGACAAAAATGCTTTCATTTTTATAGAAGATGATGTAAGAGAAGGAATGGCAGTACCTGGAGCAGAGCAAAAAGGGGGATCAGCCTAGAATCCCTACATAATCCAAATGAATTAAGTCCACCTCCCCCTTAAGTGCCATTGACCCTTATCTAACTTTAATCAAGTGCTGACCATTAATTGAGAAGATTCTTGTGCAGGAGCTTTTTAGCAGTTTAACTGAACCTCACCTGTGATCCTGGTCTTTTACTCCTCATAGGTAAAGATGCAGGAAACAGGAACTACCTGGATTGTGAACAAAGTGGAGTTACAGTCACCTGGAACTTCAGATGTGCAGACAGGGATCAGTTATGTAACTTATTCTTCTCAAGAGGGGAAGAGTGAAAAAGGCAAGCCATGGTGGGAAGAATAAGACTTTGAACAATGGGGAGGACCTTCACTCAAGAGTTAGTGGACTGAGAGGCTGGTATGGTGGGCAAGTGGGTCCCCATTATTTCAGCTATGACAGATAAAAACTGGCTATGTTAAAATGACAGTTTTCAAGGTATGAAAAACAGCTTATCGGCCATACATTTGCTGTGTGGAAACCGGACAAATGAATTAACATTTTTTACTATCCTCCCATCTCCACAATCCTAGCAATTCACCCAGCTACAAGCCCACCTATTTCATCTGCTGACCATTAGTGATGTCGTAATCTCTTTATTATTTTTTGCATTAAAACCCCCGCAATACTTGCACTTTTATCTAAAAACAAAGTACTCTATTACTTCATCTCCTTAAAGCTGCTATATCTATAGTGTTTTGTTTGGGATAGGCAAAACATTCAAGTTGGTAAAGTTTCTAGCTAAAAGGCATAATCAGATATGTTTAATCTGAACTAGATATAGATGTTAGTAGACATCACTAAAGTGTTTTGATACAGTGGGTTCATAATTATTTCCAATGTGCAAAGATAATCTTATTAATAAAAGACCAATACCTTAAAAATGAAATAATATAATAAAATAAACTATAAAATATAATAACAATAATAATATACGTCTCTAGCCTTTTGCCAAATGCTTTGGTTCTCAATTTAAGACTGAGCCATTCACAACAGCATATTTAGTTATTTATGCCAAGGAACATTTTGTAGAATAGAAATCCCTCCTGTTAAAAGAAGAAAACAAAAATCAACATCTAAGCATACAACATAAAGTCAACCTTATGGTTCTCTTTAACTCATGTCTTTTCTGTCTTGCACATTAGTGAATTGGAAGAACCTATGTAAAGCTGACAGGCCATGCCAGGACAAAGCTAGGCTATCAAACTGCTACACAGGACCATATGAAACATGAAAGAGTCAGCAGGGCAAAAGGCAGGGTGACATGTTCCACTGTAGAAAACAAGCTTGTTATGAAAAGTTCATAAATCTTGAACTCTTCCAAACATTGCAGCAAAAGAATCATTCGAAAGGGAGAAATGGATGGTGAGGAATCCTTCTTGGTCCTGTAGAAAGCAAAAGAGTATCCGCCAGTCAGCCAAAGATCCTCCTGGGATGGTGGGGCAGGGAGAGTCAAAGAGAGAGATGGATCCTTTGGAGTGGGTTCTAGTTCCCCAGCTCGCCCCCATCACGTCCTAAGGTGCTCCACACAGAACGAAATGTTTGGTAGAAATGTTATTCCAGAACAGTGAGCTTGTGTCCAGCAGAGCTTCTGTCAGTGCCAAATACCAAAGGCCCCAGCTTCCTTCAGAGATGAAAGAGGACCGACGGGATCCAAAGAAAGACAACTATTGTGAATGGCTTGAGGACTCCACACAGCAGCATTTAAAATATAAGTGCCAACTCCAGGCATGATTCTTGCCAAGATAGTCTCCATTGCTGAATGTTGTGCCAACAGATTGTATGAGTAAGTTATTCCCAGGATGAGAAAATTCATATTTTCTGCATGTTTTTATGGGTTTTAGGAAGGCAGTTCAAAAGATTTACCACTGTACCTAACAGAGAAAGGAATGATATCAGCACTTATGATTCTTTTCCGTTACGTTCTCAAGATGGCAGCACATTCAGTTCTTATGGTCTGTGAAACCTAAAAAGTGAAGAAGAAAAAAAACTCAGACAAATGAGATTTATTATTACCAGCATTAGCACCTATACTCAGAAGAATCAAAGTGACAAAACCAAACAAACAAAATCTGACTTGTAGTAATTTTAAAAAGGGGGCTTTATTTACTATAGTGCTTTAAGTCAGGCTCTCCAAACTTGGCAACTTTAAGACTTGTGAACTTCAACTCCTCAGCCAACCATGTTGGTTAGGGCAGGGGTAGGCAACCTTGGCTCTTTTATGACTCGTGGACTTCAACTCCCAGAATTCCTGAGTCAGCCATGCTGGCTCAGGAATTCTGGGAGTTGAAGTCCACGAGTCATAAAAGAGCCAAGGTTGCCTACCCTGGGCTAGGGAATTGTGGTACCCTCAGCCACGACAATACCCTGGGTGATTCTGAATCTGTCTGTGTCTGCAAAACTCAGCCTAGCCTTTCTCAGAGGTTGTTGCAATGGGAATAAGATTGGAGGAAAAAACTGCTACCCATGCTGCCTTGAGCAGGAGAAAAATCTAACAAACAAGATAAATAAATAAGATATAGGAATAGCTTCAAGCTTGGATGGTTTGTAAGAACTTTTGTTTAAAAGGGTGTTAGCTTACCTTGTTAAATGCCTGCTTAATTCATGAACTTCCATTTCAGTGCTTTTAAATTCATTTAGTTCTTTGCGAATTGCTGCCTGCGTGTGACAAAAAAATAAGTGATTAGCCCAGCGGAAAAGAAATAGGTGAATAAATTGGGTGAGGAGCAGTCATATTCTGCTGCTAAGGAGGTGTCACTGTTCCACAGGAAAACCACAGGAACCTTTCACATGGAAAAGACACCCACCATACTCCTATACATGTCAATAAATGAGGAAATGTTATCGTAAGAATAAAAGCTTGTGTGGAAGCACCTAGAATAATTATGGAAATGCATGATAGCAAAAATAACTGAAGTAAAACTAAAAAGCTGGGACTAAAAAGAACAAAATAAGCTGGTTAAAAAGAGAGGAGAGGAAAAAAACACCACACAATTCTGTCTCCTCTGGGGAAGGTCTCTATCAACTTTGAAAATGAGTGTTGCTGCAGCCAATGGCTGCAGCAACACTCATTTTCCCTACTCATTTTCGGTTGACTCATAGCATAGAGGGAGGGGGGTATACCAGGTGCTTCACTAGACTAAACAGATTTTTTCCTGTGGGAACCAAGGTCATCGACTGCTCCCGGGACTGCAGGCTGGGCTTTTCGTGAAAAACCTGACAAGAAGATGTTTTGGGGAACATAGTAGCTTGCATAGCTTTAGGGATGGGATTTCTTAACTTTGTATTGGGGATTGTTACATGTCTATTCAGACTTGGTTTCACTTTTGATGTGCTGATACTTTGTATCAATAAACATGTTCTTTGAGAAACTTGCAAGCCTCGGAGTTCTGCTTTATTTATCTCTGTCTGTCGGAACCATTACATTATGAACTTGCAGCTGGCAAGGATGGTGCTGTAGTCACTGCTACAGAAAATAAATGTAACTACATCCTCTGGTTACTGGTCCTCTCCAAAAATATCTTAGATGTTTCTTCAGCCTCCTGGCTGTCTCTGAGGCTTGTCCTACTTACCTTGTCAGCTGCTGTTAGCCTTGTCCATGGTTTATCTGCCCGTCTGTCATAGTCCTGAGCATCAGCCACTTCTACGTAATCACTAAAACGGATGAGGATCTTCCTCTCTCTCAGCTCTTCCACTGTAGGCCTTTGACTTAGCTGTAGCAAGAGCAAAATAGAAAGAGAATCCCCAAAACGTCATTCTTCCCAAAAGCCAGTTCCAAATGTCTGAAACAAAAGAGCTCAAAAGGAAAGGCTGCTTTATTTTCTACTTAATTTTACAGGGGTCCTCGACTTACGACCATTACCGAGCCCAAAATTTCCATTGCTAAGGGAGACAGCTGCTAAGTGAGCTGGGCCTTATTTTAGCACAGTTGTTAAAAGTGAGTCACTGCCGTGATTAAGTAAATGATGCAGACGTTAAGTGAATCTGACTTGCCATTGACTTTGATTGTCAGAAGCCAGCTGGGAAGGTTACTCGTGGTGATCACATGACCCCAGAACAATGCAATGCAACTGTCATAAATACATGCCAGTTGCCAAGTGTCAGAATTTAAATCACGTGACCAGGGGGATGCTGCAATAGTCATAAGTGTAAAACCGGTCACAAGTCATTTTTTTCAGTACTGTTGTAACTTTGAATAGTCACTATATGAATGGTTGTGAGTTGAGGACTGCCTGTGTTGCCTAGGAACTATTATTTGCTGTTTGAATATTAGACCAAAACATATATCATGGAAAGTGGGATCAAGAAGACACAACCTCAGATAAGGGGGTGTGAGCCCCAGGATTACATGTAGTCAATAGCCTGATTTAAAAACTCTTATAAAATAATCTACCTTTCTATTCCTTTTCTGAGCAAAACTGCCCTCCGTATATCTTCCCTCTTTTAGACTTATTCAGATTCTTTTCCTCTTCTTGTTCACTGTTTCTCCCTGTTTCTCCAACAGACTATCAAAAGAGGCAGGTCCTTTCAGCTGGAATATTCTTTGTGTTATCAATCCAAAAGCTATTCATCTTTACTTTTTGCTCTGGTGATGAAAACACAATACGGATTGGAAAACTTGGGACAATTCCAAATCAAAGACAATAAAGCTATCCAGACCATCTGCTGGTCTGCAAGGGATGGTGTTGAAGAAAAAAGAAATCAATGGTAAATATATAGTACAGTATCTCCACTGTCACTGTAACATGGCAGTTAAAACTTGTGTGCAGAAGCCCTTTTGATTGGCTCATTTAAGGGACTCAGGTTTTAAACAGCCATTAGAGATGCCCTTCTGAATGTGGAAAGGGACAGTGAAGGAAAATCAGATTAAAGAATGCAGGTGCAACATCAGGATATTGGAAGCTCCACGAACAACAGAGGAAATCTCTGGAGGAATGAAGAAAGATGATTTTTTTTCAAATGCTATAGAGTCGTAATCAGAAACACTGATATTGAACACAGGTGGTAGGAGAATTATAAATGAGGTGAGACAGCCCTCCTTTGGAAAATATAATGTCCCCACAGGCTACAGAAAAACTGCCCAGGTCTGCAGTCTTATTTATTTATTAAATTTGTTTACCACCCATCTCACCACAAGTGAGTCTTATAACCAGACCATCAATCTTACAACAATTCCAGCAATGTTAGGGATTCAAAGTAAAATATACCAAGAGAAGGTGGAATACACACTGGGTTAGAGATGAGGAATTAGAATAGAATAGAATAGAATAGAATAGAATAGAATAGAATAGAATAGAATAGAATAGAATAGAATTCTTTATTAGCCAAGTGTGGTTGGACACACAAGGAATTTGTCTCCGGTGCATAAGCTCTCAGTGTACATGCGGAATGACCTCTGCCTCAAATGGATCTACTGCTACTAGCCGTAGATGGAGCAGTCTGCTGACAAAATGCAGCTGTCTGGAATGCTGGAATGTATTGGGCTGATTGTGCACTACTGTGAACTTCCAGCCTGAGAATTCTTGAGCATAGCTGATGTAGAGAGTAAAGAGGATGACCTTGTTGGAGAAAGAGGAGATCCGTTGCCAAATCAATAAGGAGAGAAACATTGCCTAAGTCCAAACAATGCAATGCAAAAATGTTTCAGACCTCTCTAATTCACATTAATATAAAAGGGGAGATGGTAAACTATAATCAGACTTGCAAGATTCTCTTACTACACCCAATCTTAATAAAAGTAGTTTTAATCTTAATATAGACTTGGTTTCATGGACTGATCTACTCATTGGGGCTAACAGGTTTAGACCTACTTGTCATTCAGCAACTCAAGATCAGTAGGCTTAGTGAGAAAGTAGTTGTCCCAAGGTGCTTTTTCAAGAGGCAACTGGACTTTCTTCTTCTTGTTGTTTTTTAAGACTTTTCGCTTCTCATCCAAGAAGCTTCTTCTTTGGGACAACCATGACTTGGATGACTGAGAATTTCCATAGACATTGAGAAAATAATTGACATGCTATCCCCCCTAACAAATAACAAGTTGAAGCTACTTGTTATAAAAAAAGAGTTTTCAAATAAAAATATTTTCCAGCTAGATCTCTCTAGAATGTCTTGATAGAAGGATACATGGAAGAGAAGCACAGAACTATGGACTGCTTTTTGATATGCTCAGATCTCTCTCTGTCTCTCTTTCATTTTCTCTCTCTCTCTCTCTCTCACACACACACAAACACACACACGCATGCATGCAGACATACACACACTTGTTGATCCCAAGAAAACGTTGAGTTTTACGTCCCCAAAGAAAACCTGACCTTTTTTTGGAAAACACACTAAAAAAAACTTTGTACTTCTACAAAAGATAAAAGTAAAAAGCACATGAAAATTTGCTCTGGGTGGTAGACTTACTTGTTATAAAGGGATTTCCTTCTCATAGTGTTGACTAACTTTGAAGTGTATGCATCAAAGTCTGCATTTTTATTGTTGTTGCCACTATGGTAGCCACCAAATGATTATTTATTTTCCATCTGTTCCTAAGCTGAATAAATAAAACAACAATCCCCTGAAAGCTCATTTTAAATATCAAGGATAGGACTATCAGCACAAATATGCAGAGCTGAATTTGATTTGTGCTCTCTTTGTTCATGTTAAAATGCCATTCTTTTCCCACTTTCAACGTACATAAAATAATGACACATCTTGCATGTTCACTCCATGCAATCCATGAAAATTTGCTCTGCAGCATCTTGTGTCACCCTTGCCTTTCTATCAAATCTAGAGCCATGCAGATAGGTTGATAGACCTGGCTTTACCAACGCTCAGCTTATAACTGGCGCATCCTAGTACAATTATTGGCTGGCTGTTATATGTGAACACCAAAGAAGGCTGCTTTTCAAGTAAATATAAGCAGATATTTACTTCAAACATTCCTATTACTTGAGAAGCCAATATTCAATAAGGTCCTATTTCCTTATACTTCAGAGTAGACCCAAATATAAAATAACATTCATAGGGAAAATATTATGCATAGAAAGGTACATTAAGGGCAGTCAGTGTGCTATGGCCATATCTGTAGTGCTCTAACTTTCCGCTGGGTTGTATCTGCACAGTGTAGGAATCAGTCATCAGATAATTTAAAATACAGGAAAAACAACAAAACAAAACAACCACCCTCCATTCTATTTATATTAAGACATGATGGCAAGGGCTCAGATCTGGGCCTGGGTCTGAGAAGATCCTTATTCTGACAAAGGAATATATCTGGGATCCTTATTCTGACAAACTCCAAATTCTATTCCCTTTCCATAAGAAATACAAGTCAATCAAATGTAACATCTATTTCTGTATTGTCACCTAATCTTTCTATCCTCTGGCTAATCACACCACTCTTAGGATCCCTTTATTTCTAACATTCCCTGCTGACTTGAACCAATATGAGGGAAGCAAAGAAAATGTGCTGGCCTTCAACTGATTTCTTTCTATTGCTTGGTTTTCTAAATGGGAGGGAAGAGAGCTGTTGTCGTGGTACAGGCTGGTTACAGAGGTAAATGCAAAAGTTAAATTTGATGGCTTTCACAGACTAGAGTTTAAATAAAAATGATTATCATATATACTTTCTCATTTTTTTTAAAAAAAGAAAACTAACGAGTATATTCTTTTGTTTGGTAAAATATTTGGAATAGCCAGCTTATCTATTAGTATCTCTGTCCAGATTGGTGAATGGCTAATCTAATATTACAATTAATCAAGCCAGTATTGGTTAAAAAAAAATCAAACATTATGACTTCATTTTTAATTTTCCTTAGCCTTCTCCTAAACAGAAGAGTCAAACTGAATATTTTGTTCTTGATATTTTGACACACCGTGCATATTCATTCAATACAATTCATGAAAGTCACCCAGTGTTGGGATAGATTTTTCCCTGTCTGGACCCTTGAGAAGTGCAACAGAGAACAGTCAATAGACTCTACCTAAACCTCAGTTATAAAGTTGTTTATACAATAAACACTTTTCTATAATGTATTCATAGCACACTTGGTACGAATCATACAAAACAATGAAGAGAAGACAGACTGTTCCTGAACAAAGGGTATATATCTGGATTATCTTTTCATCCCTTTTGAGTTTGGGTGTCAGACATACAGTATTTATTGAGCAATCATTCATTATTAATTTCCACCCATTTTGGGTGGAATTTTACTGGAGATTTAGATTGTATTTTGGATTAGTCACTGTCCAATCAATGATTCTATGTTTAAAAGACAGAGTTAGCTCCATGATGCCTTTTGAAGAAGATCGCTCGGAATACCATATCCCAGAGTATCTTCAACCAGAGCTGAGATCTGGTTAGTATAATCCAGGGAAAAGATGCATCTGCTTTAAAGAGTTGAAGATAGGAACTTTCTCACATTCTTATCCCTATCTAATATGAAGTGCCTTTTTAGAATGAGCTGCAAAGTGCTGCAAAGCCTTATTTATAATTCCAATGAAAATTGCAACACATACGCATGACTGTGAGTTAAACTTGTAATTTGTATCTTTTTCATATATCAAAAAGTTTTCTGTTCTGTTCTTTTTTCACTAGTGATTCAGGTATGTATGTGTGTGTATGTTTGTGTGTGTGTTCCAAAAATGAATCATCTTCTCAAATGATTTATTTCCATTCAATTCAAATGTCTCAAATAATCAGACTTCCTTTCCTTACACGCTTATTCTTCAATTTACTACATGATCAGCATTATATAGAAGAATTCAATAAAAAACAAAATTAGGCTACTATTGAGTGCTTTTATTTAAAAAAAAACAAACCCGCTAGCTTTCCCTTATTCATGGTTTTTACTATCTAAGAAATAGCAAAGATCATGTGTTATCCTGGATTTAAGCACATGTACTGTATGCCTATTAAAAGAAAACAATTTTAGGGGACCCACCATTGCATGAACTTATTAAAACAAAAACCCAAGAGAGGATTGTATTCGTGGAAATTGATCTACCAAGCCCAGTATGTAATTGGTAACATCTCGAGTGTTTGAAAACCTTTCTTCAATTTTTTTGCAGCTCCGAGCAGTTTATTGAATTCCTCATGGCTTTGTGCATACATGTCTGCATCCTCTGCTGGTTTCTCTATCTACATTTAGGACTGCAAAGCTGTATCAAGGGAAAATGCTTCAAGGATGCCTTCTAAGGAATAAAGTGTTTGGAAAATATGCTTTTCAGGAAACAAACACATCAAAGCTGAAGATGGTAAAGAACTTCACATCCGCTTCAAAGCTTCAAGGTTGCCACTGAAGGACAAAACAAAGGAATTTCTCACCTTGCGGGTTAATCTTCTCTTGATCTCTCGTTTTTCTTCCTGTTCCTCTTGCTCATTCCGTGCTAGAAAAGATTGACAAAATTCTAAACTTGCATGCATTTTTTAAAAAAATGCCAACGGGTGATGAGTGCTCCTTGCTCATTTAGATATAAAATTCTGTACGTCTTAAACCCAAATTCTTATTCTCTAATTAGGAGCCACCCAGAGTTGGTTATAAGATGGACGGCTATATAAATGATTAAAATAAATACATTGATATATGTTAGCATGCATTTGATTTATTAATATGACTTTATGACAGCAATCATGCCAAGATATCAACAATCTTTGCACTTCAAGATTTACCAGCTACAGATAAAAGTATAGAGAATAATCATGACAATAGGGAAGAGTTTCTAGAATGCTTCTGGAAATTTTAGACTCTCTAGAAAGATATTGCAGGTCCTATGCAAAAAGGTAACACAGCTCCCATGCATATCTCAGGAATTTCAACTTTCTAAGAAATGTGTTTCAACATATTATTTCATTTACAATATTTCTTTGACCCATTGTGACAACATTTTATTATACGCAGTTACACGCAGTTACAAGCTAAGTGATTATACATTGTTGTAGCCAAATAATCATTGAAAGATTGCAGCAGGCTTGGTTTGTTATGGAAAGAGCCACAAAAAGCTTCAAAAAGGAACTGCAAAGAATCACCAACTAGTCCAAATGTGTTTTTTCCAAAATGCAACTGGACTTTCTTAGTTTTCTTCCCCCTTGAAGTACCGTATATGCCAGCGTATTAGGCGACCCGGCGTATAAGACGACTCCCGTCTTTATAGCCGGGCCGCATTCCTAGAACGTCGTCTTATACGCCGGAAACTACCAGTATTTCCGGCGTATAAGATGACTCGGCGTATAAGACGACCCCCATCTTTGGTGCTGATTTCAGCGCTCGCGGAAGTTGTCTTATACGCCGGCATTTACGGTATTTTGCTCCTCACTCAAGAACAGTGGTTCTCAACCTGTGGGTTGGGACCCCATTTGGGGTCAAACGACCATTTCACGGGGATCGCCAAACAACACAGTCCGCCATTTGTTTCCCCTTTTCCTTAGCTGTGCTACTCCCTTTTATTCTATTGGCTTTTGAAAGCCAGTAGAATAGACTCTCTTGAATAGAGTCTAATTCTATTGGCTTTCAAAAGCCAATAGGAATTGTCCAGGCTGTCTCTGCCCTGCTGAGCCCGCCAAAAGTCCCATTCTGCAAATGGTGCTGCACCACTTGAATAGTCCTCGACTTATGACCGGTTGAGTAGTTCTCGACTTACGACCGGTTGGGGGTCGCGGCATTAAAAAGGTTGAGAACCACTGCTCAAGAAGCTTTTTCAGTTTTGAACTGAAGAAGCTTCTTAGACGGAAAGTGACATCTTTTCAAGGGGAAAAAAAGTCCAGTTGCCTTTTGGAAAAACACCTTTGGGACAACCACAACCTGAATGACTGAGAATCTCCACAGACAACTATGAACTAGAGTCATGTATTGAGAAGGGTGGTTATATAAATTGAAATAATAATACTAATGATATTAAGGATTGCGACTAGCTGTCACATGTAAAGATGCATCTTTGATCTCACTGTTTGTAATCTCTCAAACAGTTTTTTTTAGTTTGACATTTGCCTCAAGATGATTATTTTTTTTATTTAATTTAGTTTGTACACTGCCTAATTCCAACTGACTCTGCAAAGAGTGACATAAAAAAGCAGTACAAAACCTCCAAAACAAGATGGTTCTGGGCACAATCAACATTGAGAAAGCAAAAATAATGGACACATCCAGCAAGGGACCCCCAGCAATCAAGATCTGGGAGAACAGCCAGATCTTCCAGGCTTTTGAGGAGATCTCATTCCACAAGCAGGCTCTGTGACAGAGAAATCACGCTTCCTGGATCCTGATAGATGACATTGTTTAATTGAAGGGACCTGGAGCACTCCAACTCTGCCGGCCCATCCTGGCCAGGCAGAAACCATGGGAGAGAGACAGGCAGTCAAGCAACTGACCCTACATCATGTAGGGTTTTAGAGGTAATGAATTGCACCCAGAAGTGGTACAGCTTGCAGAGCAGAGGTGTCACACAGACACACTGAGGCATTGCCCATCACTGTTCATGTCTCTGTGTTATGGACCAGCTGAAGCTTTTGAGTGGTTTTCAAGGCCTTTGCAGTAGTGAAGACTTGAGGTGACAAAGACACATGTGTTTATCTGAAGGGCCTTCTGATTCTAGCTTGTGATTATCAAAAGAGCATTTACAAGCCTGATCACAGTGGAGTAAACACAGATATACAGCTGGCTTGCTTCTCAAAAGCATGCATGCTGAGACACATTCTTACTAGCATTCAGTTATTAACTGCATGAAAATACTAGTCATTTCCCTGGAATTTATGTTCACGTTGCTTTGCTTAAGATTCATGTCCTACAGCAAGAGGGGTTTAATTAAACTATTTTCTCTATTTAATTATTTATGGCTAAGTGTCTTAAACTATTTTCAAGTCAAATATATTTGTGCCAGTATGATTTTTTGCTGAGGATGAGATATCATTAATTTAGTTTACACAACAAAACTTTAGTATTGCGGGGGGGGGGGAGGCTTTTCTGTTAAAAAAAAATGTGGCATGGAAATGTAGTTATATATTTCTGTAAGAATGACTTGCATACTGCTCTTAGATATTTGGCCAAGGCTGTACATCTTTATCTAGGATTAGCTCATGTGCATTTTACTGGATCTTTTTTCAACAGGCATAGATTAGGCTATCTATACACAGTAATCTATACACAGTATTATAGATGCAAACACACTGAGATCAGTGGGGAATATTTCTGAATAAATCTGTATAGGATATTTTGGTAAAAGAAAAAGAGGAAAGGGTGGTCCTTTATTTTAATATCTTGGGCTGACCTCACTTTGCTCTCATTTCAACTTTAGGTTAAACCACCAAAACATAAATATGTCTTTACAAGCTATCACTTTTTGGATAATAACAAAAGGGCAAGAGTATAATGTAAGCCTGGCTCAGACAGGTAAGAATGGAATCTCCATCTTGGATGGGTCCCATAGAGCAGTGGTTCCCAATCTTTTCTTCACCACGGACCCCCTTTAAATACTTTTGTGGCCACGCACCATGGCCACGTACCCTCAAGACTTAACTCATGATTTAAATCATAACATTTCTTCAAGCCTTCATGGATACCCGGTGAAGACATCTCGGCCTCCTAGGGGTCCGCAGACCACAGGTTGAGAAGAACCGCCCCAGAAGCTAAAGCAATGTTTCTCAATCTTGGAAACTTTTCATATGTGTGGATTCCCATTTCCAGAATTCCCCAGCCAGCATTCTGGGAGTTGAAGTCCCCACATCTTAAAGACGGCAAGGTTGAGAAATACTGCCCTAGGGCATACTTACACTCTATGGTTTTTCCTTGATTTAAATTTAAGTTCGAAGCTACTTACGTTTGAGAATATTCCTCTGCTCTAATTCTTCAGCAGTCGGTCTCTGGCTCAGTCGCCTGTAGAAAAAGCCAAATTTCAATTTTTTCACCATATCAGGACCTCCAGCCTGTGAATATTTGCCAGAGTCACTCTTCAACAGATAATGGGAGAGCTCAGGAAATGACAATGTTCAGATACAGATATTACTGAGCAAAACATAACACTTGTATTTTCCTTTATTGCCAACCAAGGGGAAACCGAACGTGTTGTGTCATATTAGGCATTACCCCTTCAGGCTAACCAGTGGAGAGTTAGATGAGGCAGATTTCTTTTACTTAATTTCCTTCCTTCTATGCTAGCTTCCTGACCGTCATGAGTGTGACATCTGTTCTGTGGGGGTTTTTTTTTTTGTATGACCCTCCAAACTGTGTAGAGATCAAAGCAATCTAAGGAAACTACCAGGCATGGTAACTATGCTGAGATCAGGATTTTTTCTTTTGTTCCTCAGATTGGGCTTTCCATCTAAAAACCTATCTTCAGATTCTGGAATAAAACCTGGAGGAAGATAGAAGGTGATATGAGATGATCTCCAGCCAATATGAAGGGCATCAGCTTATGGGTGGCTGCCTTAAAGGAAACACAGAAAGCTTTCTGCTGCGAGCAATTGTGGTCACCTTGTGCAAGGATTTCAGCCTGCCAATCCAACATGGCCTTTTCAATCTGTTAAATAAAAATCAAATTTTAAAAATTGAACAAGTCTTCTTAATGGCCGGGAGTATATTGTGAATGAAAATGTATCTCATCTGATTGTTTTTGTTTCCTAGCTCAAAAATATGAGGAACCAGTGTGGTATAGTGGTTAAGTTGCTGACTAGAAATTGGGAAAATCCAAGTTCAAGTCCACCCTTAGCTATGGTGACTTTAGGTGACGCCTCTTTCTCAATCGGATTGATTCAATTTAATTATTTGAAATAATTTCAGATGAAGCCTCTTTCTCAATCCAACAATCCAACAATTCAATTTAATTATTTAAAATAATTTAAAAGATTATTTTAATTTTTGTCAGTCAGCTTTTATTTTGTCCCTCCTTTGGCATACTTTCTTTAATGATCCTATTTGACTATTTCTTCGATATTAGTGTAAATCTTGACCTGTGGCAAGTTGGCAAAAGGCGAGTTGGCTGCAGCAAGTTGACAAATTGGTCATGGCAAGTTGGCTGTGGTGAGTTGTCATAGACCCCTCACAGGAGTGTTGCCTATTGGAGGAAAACATGCTCAGGGTACCACTTTGAGCTTCTGTTGGAAAAGGGGGGGGGATATAAATCTAACAAATAAACATAACAAATCACCAACCAGCCTTCTGACAATGGAAACAGTGAGCAGTTCACAGTAGACAAGTAGTTGAAAAAGATCCCATATTCCTACAAGATCCCAAGAGGTATTATTGCACAGGACCAGTGACCAATTCCTCGGCATCGTTTTTTACTGTCCAGGCTGCATTTGCACTAAACTTTTAACCAGGTTATTGACTGAACTTACTTTTTGAATTTGCCCAGTAAAGGGCTGTCCTTGATTTATAACCATTTGTTTAGTGATCATTCAAAGTTTCAGTGGCACTGAGAAAAGTGACCTATAACCAGTCTTTGCATTTTACAACTGTTGCAGCACAGCTGTAAAGTGTCACATGATTTGAGTGCCTGGCAACTGGCATGCATTTGCAACAGATGCAGTTTCCTGAAGTCATGTGGTTGCTATTGATGATCTTCCCAGCTGGCTTCTGGCCAGCAAAGTCAATGGGGGAAATTGGATTTGCTTAACAACTGCATTATTCTCTTAACAACAATGATTTGTTTAATAGCCATGGCAAAAAAATGGTCATAAAAATTGCCTTGCTTAGCAATGAAAATTCTGGTCTCAACTGTGGTCGTAAGTCAATGCATTAACTCAGGGGTCCCCAACCCCTGGTCTGTGGACCGGCACCAGTCCACAGCGTGCCAACAAGCGGGCTGCACAACAAGCAAAGCTCCATCCTCGGGATGCAGGCAGTATTCAAAACCACACCCCCTCTGGTCCATGGAAAAATCTTTCTCCATGGACCTGGTTGGGGACCTCTGCACTAACTAAAGAGGCTGGGTTTGCATCACAGGTAAATAAAATAAAATACAAAACAATAAATTAACAGTATCAACAAACACCAAAGTTAAAAAATTAACAAGTTTCACCTATTGTGCAAATGTAGATACAAACTCTTCCTTCAACTATATAGAGTGAACACTACTGCAGCGTCCTTTTTATACATCTTTTTCCTTTTCCTTAAATCAGAACTCAGTACTCTACAATACTCCCACAAGACATACATTTAACAGCTATTAGGTAACTGCTGTGTTTTAAATTCACACCTCACTCGTTTTAATGCATTCATCCCAGGCTTGGCAATTTGTCAGAGGTTGCAATGTTGTTGTGTTGTCCAATATGCTTCTTGCTTATGATAACAGTTCCTTGTTTTTATACTGATCTAATTTTCATCCACCAACATCTTTACTGGGTGACACAGTGGCTCAGTGTTTAAGATGCTGGGCTTGTTGGCAATGGAAAGCCGGCAGCCCAGGTTCAAGACTCGAGCGCCAAGAAAGAGGGTGGGCTGCTGTCATCGCCCCAGCTCCTGCCAAACTACCAGTTTGAAAGCATGTAAATGTAAGTAGATAAATAGATACCACTTTGGTGTGTGTGTGTGTGGTGGTGGTGGGGGGGGGAACAGCACTCCGTGACGTCATGCTGCCCCTATGACCATGGAAATGTCTTTGGACAGTGCTGGCTCAATGGAGATTGAAATGGAGATGAGCACCACCTCCTGTAGTCGGCAATGACTAGCGGACTAAAATCCGCAGGGACTCCTTTACCTTTTTTTTTATATATCTCTACTAATGCTTTCTTTTGAGCTTAAAGCAATAGGAAACATTCTTCAAAAACATCTAGATCAGTTTTCTTATGAAAATGGAGAATCCTAGTTGAAAGCAGGTGGGTACGATTATTGTCCAAGGAGTCATAAGTTCAAAATGTTGTTGCTCCTGCCGGAATGAATGTAGTTAATTTAATCAGATGGCTGTTCTAAGACTTCAGGGACTTTCTTTAGAGTTTAGGACATTGCATTTCTAATGAAAAAATATTAAAACTGTCAACTGCAATAGCACTTCGCATTTCAACCTTCTCAGAAGGCTATAATTTTTAAGTTTTTCTTGATTCTGCTAAGAAATCTAGTGAGTGTTTATCTTCGGATTTCTTTCCCTGGCCCAGATAGCTTAGTATGCCAACTCTAAGTCTCTATAAAACAAACCTTTGAATGAGTGATTGCAACTTATTCAAGAAGCGTCTGAGCAAGAAGTGTAAACTTTGAGGAATAAGAATGCAAAAGAAGGAGGAGGTAGATATGAAAAAACAAAACAAAAAAGACCCTCCCACTTTGGGCAGACAATTTCCAGTAACCGGTCCCTGGTGCCTTATGTCAGCTGAGAATCTTGTAGCAGGATTGTCATGTATGCTTTCAATGTCTGAGCACATTGTTGTTGTTGTTGTTCTTTTAAAATCCCACAGCCAAAGGTAAAATAAGGAAGTGATGTGACAACTGAAAGGCTTGAAAGTGAAACTGGAAACACCACATGAGCGTTTCCTTCTAAGTTTTAAAGATTAACTCTCAAAGAGAATGACAAAAGTTCTTTGCATGCTTTATTGGAAACAAATCCTAAGAATTAAATGAAATAATTAAACAGGGTGAATTAGTTTTTTTCTTTGGCTGGATTTGACCTACGAGGGAAGTGAGAGAAATTTGATCAGTCTACAAAATAATTTATTCAGTAACTAACCTTTTACATTCACTCATAATTGATTTTTGTTTCAATGTACTCATATTAATAGTGTATAAAATCCATTAGGGAAAAGCTGCTTGCAAAATATGTATATTAGGGATGATGTAAAATATACACATTTTGTTAACATGAACTTTATTTGTGTCAGCTTTAATACTAATGGACTCATTATTGTAAAAGGTGAGGCTGAAAAAAAGCTTTCTCTGGGCACCTTCCTAATTTATTATTAGTGAAGCAAAACAAAAGAGCAGCTTCTCTAAAACACTTGAGAGTTGTAACTAAATAAATACCCATATACAAATAATCTTTGACTTATGACTGTAATGGAGCCTGCCCATTATGGTATTAAGTTGTGATGGTCATAAATGGATCATCAAGGGACCAACTCTATTTTATAACTATTTTGTGGTGGTTGTTAAATGAATCACTATGAACCCATGATATTTAAACAAATGCGGTGGTTGTTTAATGAACTCATTGTTTGCTATGGAGCGTTTTTGCCAAAACCTAGAAGTAAATACCCATTTTTGCTAAAAAATGTCATAAATCTCAGTTATGCGATCGGGGGACACTGGAAAGGTCCATAAATGCAGTGTTGTTAGTGCGTGGGAGGCGATTTGTGAGAACGTCACTATCAGATCATAAATATTTTTTGAGGGGATACAAATAGCAATAGCACTTAGACTTATATACTGCTTCATAGTGCTTTACAGCCCTCTCTAAGAAGTTTACAGAATCAGCATATTGCCCCCAATGATCTGGGTCCTCATTTTACTGACCTTGGAAGGATGGAAAGCTGAGTCAACCTTGAGCTAGTCAGGATCGAACTCCTGAAGTGAGCAGTGAGTTACCCTGCAGTACTGCATTCTAACCACTCTGCCATCATGCTCTAATAGTCACTAAATGACCAGTCATAAGTCAAGGACTACCTGTAGAACAAATTAAGGCTTTTAATGATCTGGGGTGGCGGTGGTCATTTTTCAATCTTCTGCAATGTGGAGGAAACAAACAAAGGCTACTTCTGTTGGATCTGTAATATAGGTAATGTAATTCTGCATTTGGCAGTAGTGGTGGGGGACAATTTTGTGCCTGCTTATAAAACATCCTCATAGTCAAGGGGGGTAGTCTCCTCCCCTATGACTTACAGATTTGCAATATAAAGATCCAAGTTTTCTAAAAGCTGCACTAGTTAAATTTCTAAGACAGGGGTCTTCAAACTTGGCCCTTTGATGACTTGTGGACTTCAACTCCCAGAATTCCTCAGCCAGCATGCCATTGCTCTGACTCTCTGAATGCATTTCAGATTTCCTTCTAAATTTGGAAGACAGGCTGTCCCCCTTAGAGACCCAAATGAGATTTTATCTGCTTTAAATCCTGGCCAAAATTGATTTCTAAAGATGACTCTTTAACTTTCTTGATTCTGCTAGAGGACTTCTCATCATCCTGGAAGAAAAAAAGGAATAGAACTGAAGCATATATCGCATATGTTAGAGTTTATCTGCCTAATGCTTTATCTCATTAGAGAGCAGGAGAGCCAGGGTTGAAACAAAACATTTTTGATACTTATCTCCAAAAATAAAAATAAAAAATAATCAGAGGTCAGCTTTCCTCTCCAGTCGTGGTGGGTTTATCTGGCTAACTATTCACCCCAGCTAGATAGCATCTCATTCCTATCACACTAGATCGGGGGTAGGCAACCTTGACTCTTTTATGACTCGTGGACTTCAACTCCCAGAATTCCTGAGCCATGTTTAGCTCCCCCCCCCCGTCATCTATGAAAATGGAAGCAAGATACAGCAATATCCCAATTCAAGATCATTTCTGCCTTGCCTAGTGGAGGAATCTGAACAAATCATGTATGCATCATTGTCTTGTCCTTTTATTGTACTCAGTTTAGCAAACTGACCTAACAAATCCCTTATTTATAAGCCCCTTGATAGGTTCAGTTGGGAGAATCTTTTTTTTTTTATTTCCTGGAAAAGTGGAAAGTTCAATTCTGTGGTCAAAGCAGCCTGAAAATAGAAGGTGGCTTGTTAGCTATACAAAATTGTAGTTGTACACCTCGACATACAACTTCAATTGAGCCCCAAATTTCATTGCTAAGTGAGACATTTATTGAGTGACTTTTGCCCCATTTTACAACTTTTCTTGCCATAGTTCTTAAATGAATCACCGCAATGGTTAAGTTAGTAACATGGTTTGTCAAGTGAATCTGGCTTCCTCATTGATTTTGCTTGCCAGAAGGTCGTAAAAGGTCATCCCACGATCCCAGGACACTGCAACGGTCATAAAGCTGCCAAGGGTCTGAATTTAGGTGAATTTTGTTCACCTAACCACAGGTAGGCTGCAACGGTCGTAAGTGTGAAACGTGGGCATAAGTAACTTTTTTCAGTTCCATTGTAACTTCGGATGGTCCCTAAATGAATGGCTATAATTCGAGGACTGCTTGCCTGCATGTAGGATATTAGGGAAATGCCCTTTTAATTTATGTCTGCTTGAGGACTGCATTTCTTTCTCCAATTTCTGAATGTTTTGATTACAGGTAGTCCTAGAATTACAACTACAGTCGAGCCCAAAGTTTCTGTCGTTCAGTGAGACATTTGTTAAGTGAATTTCGCTTCATATTGTGACCTTTCTTGCCACAGTTGTTAAGTGAATCACTGCAGTGGTTAAGTTAGCAATCAGGTTGTTAAGGGAATACGGTTTCCTCATTGACTCTGCTTGTCAGACGGGCACAAAAGGTCACCATACGAACCCAGGACCCTGCAACCGTCATAAATGTAAGAAAGCTGTCAAGGGTCTGAATTTTGCTCACCTTGACTGTGAGGGATGCTTCAATGGTTGTTAAGTGTGAAAAACGGTCACAAGTCGCTTTTTTCAGTGCTGTTGTAACCTTGAACGGTCACTAAATAGACGGTTGAAAGTTGAGGACTACCTGTATTCGTAACCTGGATTGGCCACACTCTGTTCCTCGGTTGTTGTTGCTGGGAAGGGGGACAATTCTTCCTACCTTGTCAGTTTGGTGCCGATCTGCTGCCTGAGCTCCAGCCGCTCCTCGTCGGTCTGCACGGGGAGGATGTTCTTCTCCTCCAGTTCACGCTTGGATGGCCTGTTGCTCAACTTGATAGCTAAAGAGTCTTTCCTGCAAACTTTCATTGCCAGGGAACCTTGAGGAGAAAGAATCACCTTCAGTTTAACTGATAGAGGACAGCCATTTTCTTTTCTTTCTTTCTTTTAAATAAAATTAAATTAATCTGCTTTTAAGATCTCTGTTATCCTTGGGCAGGGGTAGGCGACCTTGGGTCTTTTATGACTCGTGGTCTTCAACTCCCAGAATTCCTGGGCCAGCCAAGCTGGATCAGGAATTCTGGGAGTTGAAGACCACGAGTCATAAAAGAGCCAAGGTTGCCTACTCCTGCCCTGAGGGAAACTTTGAATATCGAATGAGAGAGCCCATTTCAAAAGCGTCTCCTCTCATTTGGTCTGCTCTTTCATGAAGGTGAATGCCCCCAGTGCTAAATACAATGTTATCTCAACCCTCCATGAAGGCAAAGTGGATTATTTTGTATGGGAGACAAACGTTGTGGCTTCAAGGTCCCAATCTCAGTTAGCAAAGCAACTCTTGGTCAGGCCCAAGACTTTTTTTCTGTTGCCATCTCGAGGGCAGGAAAGAGCAGTGGACCTGACAGGCCACTGAAAGCAAAACAACCATAATTGGATGTAGGATTGTGGGAAAGGAAAATGGGGTTAATGCTCCCTTCTCTGCCTCAGGATCCTAAGTTCAAGGAAGTGCTACTCCCTTCCCTGCAAAATGAAAGAATGCTGCAATGGCAGAAAAGCACAATATATAATAATAACAATAATTTTTTAGCCTTTGGAATTCTTAACAGAATTCCACTTTTACCTTGTACATTTTAACTTTTATCTTAACTCTCTTTTTAAATCTCTCCTTTTATTTATGCGTTTGTATTTTTTATTATGCTGCCCAGATTCATTTCTGTAACACGGGCGGTGTAGAAATTGAATAAATAAACAACAAACAACGATAGATAAAAATTGGTAGTCCTCAACCTATAGACACGAAGAAGAAGGGGTAGCACCCGTTTCTTCCTTTATTAAATCTTACCTCTTGCCAATCTGATCACATTTGTCAAGAACATTATTAACAAGTCCAACCCTAGATATTTTTCCTTGCTTCTGCAAGGGACCATATTTCCATGATATGAAACTTGAGCAATTGCTGCTTCATTGGATATTGTTCAATACCAGATTTTTAAATTTTTCTTAAAATGTTTTGTGGCAATGGGATAAGATTTTGTTGCTGCATCCTGTATTTGCAGCTAGGGAAACAAGGAGGCAAGGTGACAATGGAGACCGAAAGGATTGGATTGTATCCTCCAATTCCACTGCAGTGTAAACCCAGTATATCTATGTTGTATATAGTATGTTAGGTGTGTTTCATGTATGTGTTCATTTTGAGAGTGGGCAACTAAATTTCATTTTTGATGTGTGCCGTTGTGCCCACAGTAAAAAAAAACGACAATAAATCTTATCTTATCTTATCTTATCTTGTCTTGTCTTGTCTTGTCTTGTCTCGTCTCGTCTCGTCTCACCTCGCCTCTCCCCTCATCTCACCTCACCTTATCTATCCTATCCTATCCTATCCTATCCTATCCTATCCTATCCTATCCTATCCTATCCTACCTTACCTTACCTTACCTTACCTTACCTTATCTTAACTTGTCTCGTCTCGTCTCGTCTCTTCTCATCTGGCCTCGCCTTGCCTCTCCCCTCCTCTCCCCTCCCGTCCCCTCCCCTCCCCTTATCTATCCTATCCTATCCTATCCTATCCTATCCTACCCTACCTTACCTTATCTTTCCTGAAATCTCAGATAGAAAAGCAACAAAAGCAATGTTTTGGAATGTGATCAGTGGGTCAGTAAAGGGAACAGTCTTGTCAGGAGAACAGGAAGAAGAACCCTATGGTTCCATATAACAGACTTAGAAAAACTAAGTAATTTATCTTTTCAAGCAATATTTGAGCATGGTTCCTGCTAAGATTTGGTTTGGCAGAAGCAAGAAGTTGAATGTCTTTTCAAAGGTTTTCAGATCCAGATATGAATATGCAAAGATATAAGCTGTTGTATTATGTGTCATCAATCCTTTTCAGATTTTGTCCAATCCCAATGCGCTCCAATGTTACCTGAAATCTTGTATTTCATGTTAAGAGTATTCTCCAAGTTTTTCGCTGGTGATAACGGGAAAAATCTCACAAGATTTGGTGACCTCTTGAACCATTGGCCACTTTAAATATTAGTATATTTTCCTTCAGTTCAATTGCAACAATCACTTTAGGGCAGGGTCTTCAAACTTGGCCCTTTGATGACTTGTGGACTTCAACTCCCAGAATTCCTCAGCCAGGCATGCTGGCTGAGGAATTCTGGGAGTTGAAGTCCACAAGTCATCAAAGGGCCAAGTTTGAAGACCCCTGCTTTAGGGGTTATGAATGGACTCAATGAGATTGTGTTGAGGCTCTCTTAGGGGAGAGCAAGCAAAAGTTATACATCTCCTGATCTATCACTTTCACTTTTATATCTGGACCTGTCAATTCCCAGAATTCTCACATTCTTAAACTAAGGTTTTTTCATGTATTTTATTTCCCGTACAGAACTGTTTCACCCCAGAAACAGGCAACATTTTCAAGCAGTTGCAAGAACCAGTACTGCTTCCTCTAGCACAGCACGAAAAGAACAAATGTGTAATGTGACTTGCAAATAATGACCTCTACTTACTTGAAAATAATGAGCTGTCATCATCTTCCTCTTCCTCCTCGTCCTCGTCTTCTCTTGTATAGAGGCATGAAGAATCGCCAAAGTCAGATTCATGAGGCACATTTTCTTTATTGTCATCACATTCGATCACAACGGTTGGCACTTGTCTCATATCTGAAAAACCTCCAGGTCCAGTTTTTGGGATGCTGTCACTACCATGTAAACTGGAGCTTTAGAGTCAAGAAATAATACCGAAGAGAAATATTAGATCTTCAGAATGAAATGCTGTGTCAGCATCTTTCAGGTTAAAACAGAGGCAATTAACTGTAAGAGAAAACTTTGGATATATTGAACTTGGTCACTCGCAGCAAAGGTGATAATGCACTCCTATAAGGACATTTGTTTAACAGGATAAAAGTTGGCTTCGATTTGTCAACTTTCAGCCTTTGAATTAGCTTTTCATAGTCAAGGTTGAATTAATTGCTTAAAAACTGAATCATCATGATGTTCAAAAATGATTATATCTCGATCAAAAAAAAATACAAATACTTTCATTTCGGCTTGGAAACTGATTCTAGACTTTGTGCTTGAGGTGGAAAAAAAATGAAACTTTGATTTTGCATTTTACCCATTAGATAGGTTTGTCGTTATAGAAATGGCTACTTTAAACTATTATGTAAAAGTAAAAAGTTGAGCTTTAATGTTAATGCCTTATTTTATGCAGTTTGCAGGCAGCTTGCCAAATTCCTGACTTGTATCTCCTACATCTGTTTTTTTAAAAATTATATTACTTTCCTAAGTAAAAAAGTAAGTAACAGAGGGATAGAATCAAGATCACATGACATTTTAATACCACTTTACAATGTCTTGGTAAGGCCACACTTGGAATACTGCATCCAGTTTTGGTCACCGCGATGTAAAAAAGATGTTGAGACTCTAGAAAGAGTACAGAGAAGAGCAACAGAGATGATTAGGGGATTGGAGGCTAAAATACATAAGGAACAATTGCTGGAATTGGATATGTCCAGTTTAATGAAGAGAAGGAAGAGTGGGGACATGATAGCAGTATTCCAATATCTCAGGGGCTGCCACAAAGAAGAGGGAGTCAAGCTATACTCCATGACAAGAAACAACAGATGGAAACTAATCAAGAGAGAAGCAACCTAGAACTAAGGAGGACCTTCCTGACAGTTATAACAATTAATCAGTGGAACAACCTGCCTCCAGAAGCTGTGAATTCTCCAACACTGAAAGTTTTAAAGAAGAGACTGGACAGCCATTTGTCTGAAATGGTATAGGGTTTCCTGCCTGAGTAGGGGGTTAGACTTGATGACTTCCAATATCCCTTCCAACATTATTATTATTATTATTATTATTATTATTATTATTGTTGTTGTTGTTGTTGTTGTTGTTGTTGTTGTTGTTGTTGTTATTATTATTGTCAATGGGGAAGCCAAATTCACTTAACAACTATGGCATATATCTTAATATATCTTTATATAGTTGACACTGATGAGGACATGTATGGTTTCAAGAAAACTCTTTTGCGATTAATTTTTCCTTTTAGATCAGCAAGACTGTAAATGGCAATGCTGTCCAAGACATTTGTAAGATATGCTATATACCATAACTGACTTCTTAAAATAAACTCTTTTGAAAATCTACATTAATCTCCTCTGAGACAAGCATGTTTGCCAAAACAAAACAAAAGAAATTTAAAATGCATTAATGTTGGTTTTGCAGATGCATGGTCTGCATGCATTATGAAAAGGGCAACTGCTTTTTCAGACAAAAAATATGCCATGAGCTGCTTAATCTCTCAAGGATGAAGTTAACAGATACCATTCCGACAGTGATGGAACTGGATAATTGGCCTATCATTTTGATAACCCGCTTTGGGCTTATGAGAAATAGACTTTTGTACCACTTCTCAGTCGTTCAGCATCTGTCTGAATTTCCAATTTATGAATTATTAACCAAGCAACATCCCTCAGAATTAAAGGAGAACGTTGGATTTAACCTAACCTTGAACAAAGAGCCTTGTTTTATGCTAAAGAAAAATAAGGCAAAAATATAATCCCTACCAAATTAACCCAAACCAAATAGAAACTTTATTTGAAAGGTTAAATCTTAAATCTGAAAGGATTTGTAGGTGTTATACCTACAAACAGGTACAAGCAGGTCCCATTCTTGGAGGCTAAGGAGAAGAGTGGAGGGGTATGGCATCAAGGGCCTGAAACAACTCAGGCAACTTACTGTGATTAACTTGCCATAGTCAACTCGCCATGACCAATTCATCATGGGGCAAGAGTTACAGTAGTTTCTAAGAAATGGTGGAATAGAATCATTAAAGAAAGAATGCAAAAGGAGGGGCAAAATGAAATGTGAATGACAAAAATTAAACTAATTTTAAAAATGATTTTAAATAATTAAATGGAATTATTGAATTCTTATTCCAGTGAGTTCGCCACAGTGAGTTATCCTGCAGCAAGTTGGCCATGGTGAGTTGGCTGTAGTGAAATGGCGATAGTGAATTGGCCAAGTCAGTTGTCCCTTTCTGGGGCCTGAAAATGACATCTTCCAATTACAGAGCAAGTTCATCAATGGGGACTTCAAATGCTCTCCTGGAATTGTTTAGTCCTGCAAAGGTAAAGCATTGAATTACTTTGTAATATAAAGAGGATTTCTATCTTTAGCTTGATACTTAATGTTGGCTAGGGAATTCTGGGAGTTGAAGTCCAGATGTTTTAAAGTTGCCAAAGTTCACAAACAGTGCCTTATAGTCTCTCATCCAAGCAGTTCCAAATCTGACCTGTTTGTCTATTGGACCTCAACCAGGTTTGTCTACCTGCTACAACCAAGCTCAGTACTGACTTAATGGTCAAATAAAAGATTGAGCTCTTAAGGAGGCCATCATCTTTCTCCCTTCTGCTACCATGAAGGTTTTAGGTAAACTATTTTTATCCATCCAAGACTGCAATTCCTTTAAAAGCCTCATCAAATTCAGTGGGAATTACTTTTTGGTATCCAGAGACTGACTGGCAGTCCCCGTTTCTTATTAGCCAAGCAAGAAAAAAAAAATAAAAATCCCACAACAGGGTTGTTATAAGGATTACTGAAATTATGCATAGAAGAACTATTCTACAACCCAGCACACGTTTTCAAAGTAATTATCTTTATGCAAACAACGAGATACATAATATCTGAATCCGACTGACAGAATTATCTTTGAACCTGCACTCTTCTTCTTTTCCTTTACCGTTGTAGGGTTAGGATCAGATTAGGGGCAAAGTAAATTGCGTATGAATACAATAATGCTTTTTTTGTTATGTAAATAACAGAATGAAACTTGAACAGCCTCCAGTTTCTCTTGAAATTCAAATAGCGTTTTTGATGTAGATCCCTGTTGTATGGGGAAGAGGGAGGGAGAGTGTGTTAAATTTTCTCATTTCATTGTGCACACTTGCAAGGATAAGTAGGTTTCCCTTTGATTCCTGGAACTCAGAAAGTACGGAAGAGCGCTCCTCGTTCTCTGGCATATTTTGTTCATGGAGGCCATTAATTACTGCACACTGTATTCTCTGCTCTCGTCCTTTCAGAGAGTGGCCATCTGACTGAATCTTGTCTAATTAATGTCTTTTGTAAGCCAAGGGTCCACAAGTGTAATGAAATACAATTCTAACCTCACAAGCAATTTATGATTATTAAGAGCCGAGCTAGTTAGAACCCTGACATGAAGTTTTAAATGAACCCATTAAACCCACACCTGCAAATCTGATGTTTCCCAAGATTCTGACAAGCTGGAGAATTCCTAATGAACTGCCACATTAGCCCCACAGGCCTTTCACTTTAGAATGTTTGGTCTCCACTACAACATTAAGTGTTGCTATAGAATGCCATCTCATAAGGAAAAAAAAATCCCAAAACACTAATCATTTTTTTTTTTTTTTGCCATTGTAGTTCCTAATTTGTGCTACCAGACAACTCATGGTCCATAAGAGTGCAAGCATAATTCTCCCCACTGGGAAGACGGCTGCAGATAAATTATTGAGATGAATATAATAGATATGGAAGAGAGGGTAAGATGTTCAAAATGTATCTGCTTTTTAAACTCCTTCTGATACATAAAATGGGCTGAAAACCACAATTGCACAAAGAAAGAAGTTGGGAACAGCTGGTCTATATTCAGAGCATTTACTAAGACTGCAATTGACAACAGGAAATAATCAGAGCAGATTCATTATATAGGGATTATATAATTATATAGGGATGATTTGTTATTATATAAATGATATATCATAGGGGTGACATATACAACTGATATATAATAGGGATACAACCAATATATGATAGGGATGATTAGTTATTCCATTATATAGGGATTATATAATTGTACAAGGATGCTTAATAAAGCACCTGGCAGCAACTATTGTCTTTGCGTGACAAGTCAGGAATTTGAACTGACTCTTTGCTATAAACACACTGCATGGTGCAACCCTCTATCTAATAATTATTTGCTTTTTATGAAAAAGGCAAACCTGATATTACAAATTGCCTGATTCTGCCTAGTCTGAATAATGATAATAATTATTATGATATTCCACCCACAAACACATAATGATTGGTATACAAAATAAAGGCAGTAAGGGTAATTGCAGTAATTTTCTTCATCTCCTTAATCAGGTCTGACCCATCTGAATAGATAGCAACACAGTTTTCAAAAACATGAAACCAACAAATGAAATAGGAAACAGAAGTGTTTCCAGTTCGTAACAGTGTCTGTAAAAATACAGTATTAGTATCAAACAATTTTCAAAGGGTGTTAGAGAAATTGCTCCCCAAATTACTCTAACCTCTAAAAAAAATCACTACTATTTCAAAGATAATAGAAATCTGCCTAATTTGTACATAGTCTACGATGTTCAACGCTTTTACTCTAACATAACAAACACAAGCCCTCGGTGAATATTTACCTAGGAAAAAGAAATGATGGGCGTAACTGTATTATCATCACTGAGACAAGTAATGTAGCAGAGTATAATCTCAAAATTTTGATGTATAAATTAAATGTACTTCTAAATTAAAAATAGCTATTACCTAGGCTCAAAGAGCTCTGCTTCTATAGTTCCTGATGGATCTCATTTCTTGGTATCTACCTCTAATGGGAGATGATGCTTTCTATCAACTCAGACCATTGAACTATCTACTCAACATTGCCAGTACTGATTGAGAGATTCAAGGCTCTATCTGGATTCCAAGGCTCAGAGTGCTACATCTTTCCATTATGGATAGCAGTAGCACTTAAACTTATATACTGCTTCATATTGCTTTACAGCCCTCTCTAAGCAGTTTACAGAGTCAGCACATTTCCCCCAACAATATGGGCCCTCGTTTTACCCACCTCAGAAGGATGGAAGGCTGAGTCAATCTTGAGAATCGAACTGCTGGCATTTGACAGAATTAGCCTGAAGGACTCACTGGAGAAGGCCTAATGCTGGGAAAGATTGAGGACAATAGAAGAAGGGGACGACAGAGAATGAGGTGGCTGGATGGAGTCACTGAAGCAGTAGACATGAACTTAAATGGACTCCAGAAGATGGTAGAGGACAGGAAGACCTGGAGGAACGTTTTCCATGGGGTTGCGATGGGTCGGACACGACTTCGCAATTAACAACAACAACAAATTGCATTCTTACCACTGCACCACCAGGGCTGTTTGCTCCCAGTGTGAAGACTTATCTGCACTAAAGGTTACATCACCAGAAAGAAGGCATGGGCAAAACTGTGAATTTTGAAAAAAAAAAAAATCAGCCCTTCTATAAGTAAACAATTTGGGCTCATCAGAAGAGCCTTGTTGGACTTAATCAGAAACCTATCTAGTTTTCTAAGGTGACAAACCAGACTCTGGAAAACCAGCCTACTCACAAGAGATTAGGGTTTGTTAGTCAAGTTGTTTCTTTTACCCAGCTTTTCTCCTCACTCTGCACAGAGTTGGGATGCTCAAATTACCTTTCTAGCCGCTGCATGGTCATGCTCAGTGTTTTATTCAACTCCTCGATCATGCGACATCCTGAAGGGTGCATGGGTAACGTGCTGGATCCAGAAGGCATATGTGAGCTGTGGCTGCCGTACTGATGCTGGTGTGCTGCTAACTGTGATGGTAGCACTGTGTGATGATGCGAAGTCAATGGTTGCTGGGAATTCTTCTGTGTGGCATAAGAGGCGAGGGAGAAATCGGGTCCCCCTAAAGGCATGCAAATCATGACTTTCTTTGGAGGTAGCGGAGGTGATAGTTTGACTGGCATACAAGGCAGCTTCATCGGAGCACCGGGATCTTAAAAAAAAAAAAAAAGTTTGAGAATCTCAGTTATGAACAAAGGCGGAAAAAAGGCACTTTGATTTTCTCCACAGCCATTGACTTGTTTTAACAGGGAAAGCATTTTTTCTCTCATGTGCGTCTGATGCAGTTCAGGTAGATACGAGAGATTACTATATATATCATGTCGTCCTTCCTGGTTCAATCTGTATATAGGTAGTCCTCAACTTACGAGCACAACTGAGCCCAAAATTTCTGTTGCTAAACATGATGTTTGTGAAGTGATTCCTCCCCCCCATTTTATGACCTTTCTTGCCACACTTGTTAAGTGAATCCCTGCAGTGGTTAAGTTAGTAACACGGTTGTTAAGTGAATCTGGCTTTCCCCATTGACTTTGCTTGTCAGAAAGGCGCAAAAGGGGATCACTGCAACCGTCATAAATATGAATCGGTTGCCAAGCATCTGAATTTTGATCATGTGAGGCCGGGGATGCTGCAATGGTCGTAAGTGTGAAAAATGGTCATACGTCACTTTTTTCAGTGCCACTGTAGCCTTGAATAGTCACTAAATGAACTGTTGTAAGTCGAGGACTACCTATACCGCAATCCAATGTGCATACAGTTTTGAAAGACTTGGTTGAAACACCTAGAAATTCTCCAAAATTTGCCACTGAATTGCAATTTGTAATGGGCAGAAAGCAAAAATATTTAAATGCACGAGGGCTACTCATATTTAGACACTTTATTAGATATCAGTTCTATTTCTATTTACATTTTTTTTTATTCTGGCCCATTTGTTTTACCGTGCCCCTATCCATTGTTGGGGTGAAGCCTCAGCTATGCAACTGAAGCACTCAATGGGTCAGTCCTCAGAAGTTGCATATCTTTGGTCTATGGGGCTACAATATTTTCAAGCACAATGGTTCTCCATTGTTGCAAAGATCATCAATGTAAACATCATACTGAAATTTCACCATTGGTATCACTACAGTACCAGGAGCCCCTGCAATTACTGTATGCTATAAATTTTAAAATAAAACTAAAGCCCAATGTTCCAGGCATAAAAATATTTATGAATGGAAGATTGTGCCTGTTAGTCATCAAGCTCTAAAAATGACAGGAGATGCAGCTCATATTCTTAAAGTCCACTTCAACCTGTAAGCAAGCCAACGTTGTCTTGTGAAGATTTCTGCAAACTATGTTTGCAGAGCCAGTGTGATACATTGCAATGTTGGATCCAAATCTTCACGCGACCTTTAACTGTATTGGTGGCTGAATGCGCACAGTATTCTTATCTGTTTTTTTTAAATATCATAAAATATTTATCAAGAATTTTTGTATGTATTGGCATAGTAACCCAAATGTGAGCCAGTTTTGTTGGAAAATCAGAATAGATACTTAGGATTGGAGAGAGAAAGAAAGCAGAGAAATTTATTCAAGGTTTACATGGTCTATAGAACACCCACGGTTTAGTCCTTGCAATGGCGGCAGTAGATGACCACATTTGAAAGTGTTTTATTATTATGTGAAATCCATACAATTAGCTGAGAAGTTATCTAGAAACATGACTTCATGTTAACTAGAAGATTGAATTCATGGTATTTGAGCAATCTACATGGCCTTTCATTTAAAACCTCTAAAACCTATGCATCTATAAAGAACATCTGAAGAGACACAAAGATGAAGAGACGCAGACTGATTTTTTTATCTTTAGTTTTAATACACTGTATTTATTTATTTAGTGTATGGCAAAAATGTTAAAATACGCTGTAATTTTTACTGTTCAAACATGAAGCAAGAATCTGAATTTGAATGTATGGCGTTTTCTTTGTTTCTGTTGGTTCTGACAGTTTATTTTTTTACTGAATGATGGCCCAATTGCTGAAACAAATCTTTGTATTTGTTAACATAAAGGTTTTGCTACACAACATGCTAAATCAGTGTTTCTCAATCTTGATAATTTTAAGGCACGTGGACTTCAACTCCCAGAATTCCACAGCCAGCATTGCTGGCTGTGGAATTCTGGGAGTTGAAGTCCACATGCCTTAAAATTGTCAAGGTTGAGAAACACTGTGCTAAATGAACACTGCCATACAATCAGGGTAGAGAGAGAGATTTATGAAGATATGAGTGGCCTAATCTTTGAGGTTAATCTGCTCTACTGCCTTGGAGAAGGCTGTCTCGTCAAAAGTGTTAAAGGAATTGAAACACGCACTGGTTTCTGTATGCAGAAAGGAAAATACTATTTCAGTCTTTGCCTCAAGCACAAAAATGCCTTGGGCTGCCTCTGTATAAGAAAATATAGTTATGTACCAACTCATAAATTTCAGCATCTTTCAGTGCAAATGTACACAATCACAGCTCCAGGGCAGTGTGCCGTCTTCAAAAATGCCTCACATTGGTTTTTAACCCAAATGCATTAATGTGACGGGAGGGAAAAGACAAATACATGATTAACCATAGCTGGTTTTCAACTAAATTTAAAATAAAGCAAAGTATCTGAATTCTTCAGAAATCATGTCGCAACAACCAGATATTAAATTAAAGAGAAATTATTTTTCTATATTAAGTATTCGCTTTCAAAAAGACGAAACCAACAACGGTTCCTGCAAGCCCCTCCTTAATTAAATCATACTTTAGTTTCTACAAAGCAAGAGCAAACTGCCCATCGCAACTTGCTATTGGTTATGTTTTGTCTAAACCTGGGGTAGGCAACCTTGGCTCTTTTATGACTCGTGGACTTCAACTTCCAGAATTCCTGAGCTGGCTGGCTCAGGAATTCTGGGAGTTGAAGTTCACAAGTCATAAAAGAGCCAAGGTTGCCTATTCCTGGTCTAAACAAAAGCACATACACCCCTCAAGGTGGAAATTTATTGAAAATTGAGATAGTTTTTCATTTTCATTGTGTATGTTTCATTGTATGCACCTCTTAAAATGCAATTCAAATGTGACATTTTCATTTTGGAAAGAAGAATTGACTGCTCGTTTCCAGACTCTCTGCTGGGCAACATAATCCATAATTCTAGCATGAACACCATCTTTTAAATGTTTGGGATTTTGTGATCCATACAACCTGATCATAAGCATATTTATTAGCAAATAAGAGTTTTGATTTCGTCACCTAAATTAACCCATTTATTCAAATTCAGTCATATATAAAATTAAACTAATGGCCCATCTCCGCCACAGGTAGAAAGAGCCAAAAACAGGCAGAAAGTTAAAAAGGGAATATTTAACCTTTAAGCAATTTCTTAACTATTATTTTTCCTGCAGGGAAATAAGTCCCTTATATTGTATCCAAGAACATAAATAGGTGTGAAGCTGCTTGAATGTAAATGGGCAAGGAATGAGAGAGAAAACTCTATTTTTTCAAAAGTGTCACCTCTTAGAGAAAGAAACTGGACATTTTCCTTAATTTCACAACGGAGAACTTAACCATTGTTTAACTGGGAAACTATGAGCATCCTAGACCAAGCCAAGTCTAAAAAAATGCTAGAGAATTCCTGGAAGCCTGGGACTCAGACAAATTGGCCATCAACAGCACATAGACATAAACAACATCTACATACTATTCAAAAGAAACAATCAAAAAGCCAAAAAGGAAACTAAAAGACCAAAACACCTCCTCACTAGCAATCAACACCCAGATGAGGAGAGATTAATACCAAGATTAACATTAGATCATTAATCAAGAAGCAAATAATACCCCAATCAAGGAATTGCCAAACAAGCCAACAGTAAACAACAGTGCAATCAAGAAACCGTTAAGACCACTCCCACCAACACTGACAGGGCAAGCCACTTGAATATAAAACGAAAGCAAACTCCACTCCCTACTGCCACTGATGATGTTGCCTAGTTTGGTAATTAAACCTCTGCAAGGAAACAACCAAGCTCAGAGAGCACCAAGGACACCACAACACTGGGCACAATATTACATAAAACTACATTCAATAACATGCTCTCTGATTTCCATATTGTACTAGAATTACATAAGTCTTCATTCATTTCATGCTATTAAGGACATCCTGTTAATAAAACTAAATCTGAAGAAAGTTATATTAGGGCTGTGATTATCTGGGCAGGAAAAAAATCCAGAATTTTTTCCCCCTTGCTACCATCTAATTATTGTCTACATTTCTACAGTCCCCATATGATATATTAATTTCTGCTACTGATTTTGAAGTGGCCATCCCTGAACAAAGGACTTTCAAAGGGAGGCTCTGTCCTGAATCTCTTGAATTACAATTCATTCCAGAAATTCAGTTCTGTACATTTGAGTTTCAGCAAAAACAACAACTACATGTTGCACTAGAGATGGTAATTAATTCAGCACTATTTGATGTTACCACCTATCAAGTTTTTTCTTTTAAAAAGATTGCTGTGCTTATTTTGAATACATTCAAGTTCTAATTAAATTATTCCTACCAGTAAATTCTGCATTATGCTCTCTTTAATCTCATGGTTCACAACTTAAAAGCCCCCCCCCCCCAACTGAGCAAAGGAGAATAAACCATGTGTCTGATGGAAACTTGGGTATGAGTGGGAAGACAAGGAATTGGAAACTTCAAACTGATCTTTGGGTGATTTCTAATTGATCAGAACAGGCAAAGTAAGGACAATTCTCAGTTCTCCTAATAATGCTATTTTAGAATCAGCATTTCACGCTCTTGCCTTCAGCAGCAGTGAGCAATAATGATCAAGCCTATAGTTCCTCATGTCTTTACATTACAGCTACAAAGTAAAAATCCTTGACCCTTCTTCCAAAATCCCAAATTGAAAACTTCCAGTATCTCATGCACATCACTGCATTTCACAAACAAAAAAGCTGGTTAGAGAAAAGACTTTCCCTTTCCAACACAGGGTGAATCTCTTAAACCTGCTATATTTATTCCCCAAACCACAGAAGCAGTTTGGTGGCAAATCATGATTTATCTCCACTTCTGTTGACTTGAAATACTAAGAACAACTGAAAATCACTGCCATCCCAAGCTACTGAGAGTTTTGCAGCAACAAAAAGAAAAACCCCAGCTCTTAAACTTAATGCTTCCACAGATCCTGCTAATCTTATGCTGAAAAGAAAAGCAAAACTGGAAAAACATTTGTCAGTTTTATTTCTAATTTATTTTGTCTCTACTACCAAAACATTATATAGCCATAAAGCTAGCATATCAAGTTAAGTAAAGCTTGCAGGACTTGAAACTCCAGAATCAGGAAATAAGCCAAAAAGTCCTTCTTATTGAATGAACCCATGCCAAAATGAACTCTGCAGCATTCACACACACACACACACACACACACACACGCAAACACACACCACATTGAAATAGTAGCTGGAACAAAATCATCACAGCTTTTCCACAGTATTATGGGAGCAGAAAAGTTTGGTGTTGATTTCTAACTGGCCTAGAAACCTCAAGGGGACAAAATGGAAAAGGTGACATGGAAATCCTCACTTGAAGCCAGGTTTAAAAAGTTTACAAGCCCCCAACTGAAGCCAGATTTTAAAGAATCTAAAACCCATTTAATCAGGTCACATTATTTTACTCAAAGAGCTCTGGAGTCTGATCATTCTTCCAGTACATCTGGGGCGTAGAAGACCTGTTCTGTGTGCAAATGGCCACCCAACTGTGGGAAGTCAGCCTCCCTCAGAGAAAGAAATATTTTGGGGAATATTAAAAAAGGCTGAATATTATATTTCCCCAAAGGATCTTAAAGGCAGAGAAACAGGTCCAGTTTTTCTTAATAGCCCCCAACAGAAACTCAGGAAATCACCTTTTAGAAGTGCAGATTTGATAATCCCATTCAGCCCCATTCATGAGCAAATACCACCAGGCAGAAGCCCATTCAAGACAGGATATTTTGAAATCCTGTGCAGCAAAACTGATAGCTAACAATAGCAGAGTGATAGAATTAGAACCAGCAACCCCTCACCCCAAAAATCCAACACAGGACATAGTCATCAGCCACAGCCACAGGGAAACAGGATATGACCTTTGGGACATAATAGGATTAACCCACCACCATTAGACTACCAAAAGGGCATACTCAGACTCAGGTCAAAATACATGACACTGGAAATACAAAGCCTCAAACAGGAACAGCTCCAAACACAATAGCCCAAGAAGGTATAAAAACTCATCACACCCAGCAACATGTGGTCAGCTGCTCCAGAGCCTCATGGCTTGTGGTTCTGCTCTTCAATAAACTACAACCTTCTTTCTAAAGCAGTCTCCATTTTGTTTATTTCCAGCTTGGATTGGACCCTGATGAAGATTTTTCTTTCCACACAACCAAGTAATTAGAAAGCAAAGAAACTACAGAAATAGGTGCAGAAGGACAATGGTGTGAAATAAACTTCTACAACAAGTTGGAAACGGAGTAGAGGAATGGTGGAAGAGATAAAAGAGATAACAAATAAAGGCAAGCAACAAAGAGTTCCCCTACTGACACATAAATAGAAAGGAATGAAATCTCAAAGACTATTATTAATATTAGTTTTTTTTAAAAAAGAGCATTCAGTGTAGTTGAAACAACTACATAGCAAAAACAAAAAAACAAAACCCTCAAGCATGAGTGAGATTTAAGCTCTCTTATTATTTATTTCCCATGAGCTATGAGTTTTTGGAAGAAGCTGGAGGAAACATAGAGACATTAAACTGACATCTGATTGAAATAGACCCCAGCTAACAATTTAATGCTAAAAACAATTTCTTCTATGCTCTAATAGCCTCATGTTCTCATCTATTTGCAAATTGGTAACACAGGTATTCTAATGAGAGATGCAAAAACAGCATAAAGGCCTTTCATGATCATGTCATGAAAAAAAATAAGTTTTGTTCAGAGATGTGAGGAAAAGTATGTTTTTCAGGGGAGGGCGGCACAAACCAAACAGGAACATTTACTTACCAGCTAAATGGTTGGCAATCTTGGTAATGGGCTTAGGAGGCAGGGCAGGGGGTTGTTTGAGGAGGGAGAGCTGCTTCACTGGGGTGTCCTCATGATCTCCAGAGAAAGCAGCAGATTTTTTAGGGGGGAGTAGCAAGACTGGTTTAGATGTAGGCTCTTGAGGGAGATGGATTCCAGATTCACTGGACGTGGGACTCTCTTCAGACACTGGAGGACACAACCACAGCAGGAGACGCAACAGGGTTACAAGCAAAGCAGTAGCAGAAAGACAAAGGCAGCAGAGCAATGCAGATTTAAAAATGTAATTAGCCATAATTTACTCAGACGTACAAAGAAAAGGAGGGAAAAAAGGAGAAACATTCTGGTGCTTTCACTAGATCTACCACTAGTATGTCCCACACTAGTAACGATCTAGGGACAAATTCAATGGCTTTTTTTTGCTCAGCTTGCTCTACTGAAGTCAACTGACTACATAGTATTACCTTTAGAATCCTAACAGTGCCTTCAACATTCCTTTTTCTAGAGTCCATGGGTTATTTAGGATAAATACAGACGTATTTGACAAGTTTTTTTATGCTGAGGTCTTTCCCACTGACCAGACTTGCAAAGTATCCTGTATGTTGCAAAGAATTTTGAGACATATTGTTAGATATATTACTTGTCCTCAAAGGCTGTAGACTGTCCTAGACTATTTCCCTCATGGCTGCATATCTCACAGAAAGTCAAGAAGACGTGCAAAAGTTTCAAAAAAGATTCTTGTTATAATTGTTCTTCAGTGAGTCTGCCTGCCTGCTGCCTGCCCGTCCCTCCATCCCTCCCTCCCTCCATCTGTCTGTCCGTCTGTCTAGTTATCCTCTCTTTCTCATCTCTACTTATTATCATCTCTGTCTGTCTATCTGTCTCTCTCTGTCTAATCACCAGCTTTCCAATTTTTTAAAAAATGATCATAATTCTTCTGTCCTCTTAAATAATCTTCAGATACATAATTGTATCTTAAAACTCTAAAAGTATTTCTGTTTGGATATTAGTGATGGGAGCTTTCATTTCTCTTTTCCAACTCAGGATAGTATTAATACACTGAAAAACGTATTGTTTTTTGGCTTAGCTGGACAACTTAAGCTGTACAATTGTTACCAAGGACCAGCATGTCTTGTCAAATTATTATAAACATTGCTTTGAGAAAAATAAATCCTACTGAATTTGAAAACAACCTAATTTGCCCTTTGTTTCATAAACATATCAAAATCCCTTTTTACTACATGTTACTTTGTCACCTCCATATATTGAGGGAGACAGAGAGAGAGAGAGAGAGAGAGATGATAATATCTCATTGATGACAAAAGCTAGACTTTGAGCTTGTTTATGAATATGGCAACTTTTTTTGCAGTAATTCTTCCATCATGAAATGTCAATGGAAAGACAACATTAAAGTACTAGAATACAAACATAGTGGCTACTGGGTCTAATTTACATTTCGTATATTTCTGTTGTCTATGGAAAATCTGCCAGCCCAATTTAAAAACAATAATCCTTTCCTGCTTTTCTATGCTGTGCTTCTTGCAAATATCTCCATACTGTTCAGCCATCATACTAAGAAACACTGATAATGCTGCTTTCTTCCTTTTACAGCTTTCTAATGGAGTGATCAACACTACAACTAGCCACAGTAGATTCTACAAATTAGACACTGCAAAAATAAATGGGTGTATTATTTTAGTTTTCTCCAATCTGATCCAATTCAGAAGGATTTGGAGTTCAGCTCCTTGAACTGTGTGTGGGTCATCTTATCATTCCGATGGTAAGCAATTATTTCAAATTTAGTTGATATAAATATATGCAGCCATTAAAACAGAAGTAATAATGTTGTTTTGGCCAGTTAATTCGGTAAATTATAATATCACCTACTGTACAAATACAGCCACTGACATTGGCAAACCTACTGAATTTTAATTCTTCATATTTATCCACTGAATTAGAGACTGACTGTTAACATTCATACAGATAAGATCTAATCTAGAATTTCATCAGGCTGGATATGTTACTGCTAAAGTATTAAGGAAATCCCTTCATTATTGATTCTGGAGAGCCAGTTTGGTGTAACTGGGCTAGAAACCAGGAAATTTTAGTCCTGCCTTAGGCATAAAGCCAGATGAGTGATTTTGGGCAGTCATTCTCTCTTAGCCCAAGAAAAAAGACAATGGCAAGCCACTTTTGGAAACAGTTGCTGATAAAACTGCTTGTCCATGTAATCACCAGGAGTCAAGGTTGACTCAAAGGTTTCTTTCTATATTATGTGACTCATTATGGAATTAAAAATCTACCTGTTCCATCCATGACCTCTGGATTTGGGAGTATTTCATAACTACAGGAATCCCCAGATACTGAACATGGCTCCAATTCAGATAGGGCTGGCAGTGATATTTGGCTGGAACTTAACGTCTGTCCATTCTCCAATGATCCTTCTTCATTCTGTATTGGAAGCTCTCCATCTAAAAGAAAGCACAATAGTATGGGATAAGGAATATAACTGCAATCGAAAAATCAGTGCTCTTTAATAAAGAGGTTGATTGGAAAAATGGGCTCCCCCTCCCCCTCCTGTGCCTCATTTATTTTAACTGCAAACAACAGATTTCATAGGATTTTTTAAAACTATAGAATAGAATCAACTCAGTTACCCAAGGATACCTTGTCTAATACAAATATATCTTTGCTTAAGGTATATTTGTAAAAAAGGTAACCGATTGTTGGGACATTATAATCTAACGAAAGAAAGACATTGGAACAGGATTGTTCAATGTCTACTTGGCATTCTTAGAGTAGGACAGCTAGGACTAATTTACCTGGACTCTCACCCCCTGCCCCACACTCTCCAAATAGCAAGCCAAGCTCTTGTTTCAGGTTTTGAGTGCAAATATCGGTTCCATTTGAACTCTTCCATACAATAATCTACAGACTGGAATACTGTATAGTACTTTAGGATTTGCCAGTTTTGGCACATCTCCTGCACAGGTTCTTGATTGATGCATCGGGACAGAATGTTTGAGACACCCCTATTTCATTTCATTTATGCTGAAAGTCTCTATTGGCTCATAAATTAATATTTATGAAGCCCTTTGGGGAAATCTTGGAACTGATATCAAAATTACACAAACACAAACAGAAAATACTGCTTAATCAATTAAAATTAATTCCACTGGGATTTAAATAATAATATATTATTATAATCATTAATTATTAATGATTCTAATTAGTAAGTTACAAGAAACAATGTGCCGCTAACCGGGGAATTGTCTAAAACCAATCTAGAGTAATCTAGACAAACTAGAAATTGCCCAGTGGTCATTATTTAAAAATCCAGATATATAAACAGTAGCAGTTTGGTTTCCCAAAAGTTTTAATACTTCATTAGAATTTTGGGATGATTTTTTTAATAATCAATATGAATATCTTTGCTTTTGAATTATCTAGGAATTTTCTTTCTCTCTATTAGTGTGTCTCTGTGTGTATATGATTATGTGTAATGTGGGTTTGCTATCCAGGGAATAAAAGTCTCCACTATGGAGGCAATGATTTGAACATTGCTTGAAGGAAGGACTGCCTTTTCTTGGCCTTTTTTCAGAAGGAAAGGAGAAGACTACAATCAACCCAACTTCAAAGATGGCTTTTTTTGAGAGAGAGAGGTTGGAAATGGTGCTGGATGGAAATGTTCCTAAGTAGATTGAATTTAGAGGGACTTAGGTTTTAGATACGCTTCTTTAAGTTTATCTTCATACTTTCTCCCAAGACTGACTGGAATCAGTGAGACTTATATTCAACTAAACATGCACATGTTTGTGCTGAGAGGTAAACAATTATATAAAAGCAAAACTGTAAAGCCAATTATAATTGCATTACTGCCTTCCCTTTTCAAAAGATACATAAAATAACCATACTGTTGAATACTGCTAAGTCAAATGTGCTGAATATTGCTAAGTCAAATGAAAGACATTTGAACTGCATATAATAAATGTTAAATTTCAGTACTGTGTAGTTCCTTCATTAATATTTTACTGAACAGAAGGATTTAAAATCAAGCTGCTGGCTGTCATCTGTTGAGTTAGATGGTTGGAAATTGTACAAGAGATGATAAAACTAAATAACTTTAATCTTTTTTAAATCAAACAGCAATCTTGCAACTATACAGAACAAATTACTCTAAAGTGTTGTGTTTTTCTTTAATGGGCTTAGAAAAAAGTTGTCCTCTTTAGTACAGTATTCTATTTCTAAATTTATTATTCATTTTTCATGAAATGATCTGTTAATTGCTTTTACTTACTGATGTACTTCAAAATTGCTTCAAAATTGGGCTCAAAGAATCATACAGTTAAAAGAGTCTTTATAATTTAGCACCACAGAAAGCCATGGCAGATACCACCCAGATGTTTTTTGCTTACGTCACAAATGTTATTTTCAGACAATAAAGTAGGCGTCCAATTAGTAACCATTTTAGGTTGTTGCTTTCCTTTTTAGCAAATACTTAAATTCCATCAACAAATAGGTCAAACTGGGATACAGCTGATGAGAAGGAAGATTTGAGTCTCACTTCTAGCAGAACTGGAGGAGAATACTAGATCATTATGCCCACCTATATTTTCCTTGGTGTCACAACTGAATTTTTCCTTTGTTTGCATGGCAACTTTGATCTGTTTTCAAAACAGTGAAGGTAGCTTGTGTTAGAAACTAGTGATTCATTTTATGAAAAATGTCCAAAGATTTGATGTGCCTTAGGTGTTATGGGTGACTTATAGGAATTGGGTATCTCAAAAAACAATCCAGTTTATGAGCATTTAAAATACATCTTTTCACAATGGAATATTTAATCTGAATATGTTGTAACACTGAATATGACTCTGAAATGTGAATTGGATTTTATGGTCTCTATGACCATCCTTTCTTGTAAAAATGTGAGCAGAGCTTCTCTCTCTCTCTTTTAATGCTGTAAAAATATGGATAATTAAGCTAGAAAATATTCCAATGCAATCAAACAATATTTTAACTAATGAAATTTGTGTTGTGAAAAATGACAAAAATTCTTTAATTTCACAACATATAGGCAGATTTAACCATAGTTTCAATTGGGAAAAATCTGACAATCCTAGACCAGGCCAAATCCAAAAATGCCAGGGAATTATCTAGAAGCTCTGACAAATCAGCCATTGATTGACACATGGACATTAACAACATCTATAGATTATGAAAAAGAGACAATCAATCAGCCCCAAAGAGAAAAAGACTCCAGCACTCAGATCAGCACAGATGAACTCCAAGGTCACTTTCAGATCAACAATCAAGTAAGCAATATCCCAGTCAGGAAACTGCCAGAGAGCCATTAGTAAACAGCCCAACAAAAGAATCCCTAAGACCGCCCCCACCCACACAGACAGGCAAGACACCAGAATATAAACCAACAGCAAACAACACTCCTTACTAGCACTGATGATGTTACCTAGTTAGGGTAATGAAACGTCTGCAAGAAAACAAGCAAGCTCAGAGAGCACCCAGGACCTCTCAATATTTTAACTTTAATACAAAAGCTGCTCCTGAGTGCATTTGAATTTATTGCTTATTTTTGTTTGGAGTCCAGCTATTATAAAAATCCAGATCCAAGTTTTGGACTTGCTACAAGAAATTCTTGCAAAAACAAATAATATTATCCACACCCCCCACTGTCACTGTGAGTTGACAGTGTTTCTTACCTTTGTCAAATATTTCCTTCAGAACTCCTCTCTTGATAAGTTCCTCTCTGCTTTGCCTCATTGATATTTTCCTTTCGAGTGCTAACGAAAAGAAAAAAATACAAGTTGAAATAGTGAACTCATAAAATATGGCATTAGGAAACTGTAAAAAACTGTTTTCATCCCTTGAAATACTTTTATAATCCTGAAGAGTTGAATAAACCCAAATCATTGAAATCTTTTTTTCTTCTTCTATTTTTGCCAATAGTTTCAACTTTACTAAAAGATATCTGCCTTCATTGTCCTTCTATTTATTGATTTTACATCTGACTTTAATGTTAAGGTTTCTGATTGGCATGGTGATGAGCTGAATTTACGAACATCCAAGGAGATTATCTGATCTTTTGATTCTTGATTGCTTGATCAGTAAGCAGAAAACTTGTTTTGTTTTCCTTCACCTAAACGGCAGTTTTGTAGTGTCTTTCATTAGATTAATTATGGGTTTGAAATCAGGAAGACAAAGAAAATAGGAATCGCTTCCTCCTCTTCAGAGGGGCAGCAACTGCTTCAGATTGTTGAAGAACAATTGAAAGATTGAGCTGCTGATGAATTTATTCCTGAACACAGAGAGAAAGCCAATAACTTTAAAGGCTTCTCTCATGGATTATGGTCTTCTAAAACAACTGTTTTTACATATTCATATGCTGGGAATTAAAGCTTTTTGGTGCTAGAACAAATACTTGAGATGCTTCCAGTCAAAAGATATTGGAGTTGAATTTTTTTAGTAATTGATTTAATTGAGACAAAAATTGCTCAGCTTAGTGAGGAGAAAGATTAGGTAAATTATTAGATTCTCAACTGAAACTGCAGTAAGAATAACAAAGCAATATTATTTTGACTACCAAGAATAGACAAACAATTCAGCACAAACAATGATTCTATTTTAATAAATTAATTACTCATAAATCATTTCTAATTTTTAACGCTTAAATTTCCAATACTGAATCCAAAGGAAATCATTAAGAAGAATTAATTTTTTTAATAATAACAATAATATGGTTCTTCTGAAGATAAATAGGAAACTGCTTATGTCTATCTATTCAGGAAATAATAGGTTTTTGGTTTTTTTTATTAATTAGATTAAAATGTGGTATTTTAATCCTTTGACCAGCATTTTTTGCATAATGCCTTGATTTCTCTTCCAATCATTACTTCACCCCTTTATTAACTCATATAGTGAACCTGACCTTGGAATTTCTGCTCTGTTTTAATAAGGATACTCTAGGAATAAAATTTCAGCTGGAGTTATTATATGCTGATGATATTTTATGTATTATTGATCATTATGAATATTTTATACCAAAATGTATAAATATTGTGTAATAGTTTTATAACACCTATTAGGTGTTATTCTTCCCAAGTAGACCAGAAGGGAAAAATGACCAGATGAACTAATACTATTTTATTATAAAACTACATTAACAGAATCTTGCAAGTCTGAAAGTACAAATCTTTCACGGTCTCCTTTACAGCCTGAAAAGCTAGGAAGGGTTCCTTCTCGGCCTTTCTCTGTCTATTACGCAGCTGTGGGCTAGGCCTTCGCTTATTTGGCATTCCACAGGAAGCATTTCTTCAAGGTCTTGTTCACATACCATTACCCCAGGTTATTTAGTTCAATATAGAATGTCTAAAATATGCCCTATGAGCTCTGGATAGCCAGAGGAGTTATGGTGAACTTTTGAGGGAAAAACTCTGCAACAGTGGAATCAATGACCGTGGCAAACGGCAAGGAACCGATGAGCAGATTGGTTCCATGGAACCTCTCAGGATAGAGAGAGGATGGAAAAAAACCCCACATGTGTTCTGGACAGTTGCTCCACATGAGCAGACCCACAGGACTGATCTGGCTTTCTGCTGATCTGAGTACCAGGAAATGACATGATTAGTCATCTTGCTTGCAACCATAGTGGAGACTTTGAAAGCACACTAAGTTTCCAAACCTCACTTTCTAATTAACTGACTTGCTAATTAACTATTTCTGAGATATTAAAGACCTTTGGAATGGCAGCTTTGAAAATGCTGGATGTGTCTGCCTTTAATCCTGAACGAAAGAACATTTTAATTGTAAATTAAATGAATTTAAAGAATCTGAAATAAGTAGCAATAATGTAAAAAGCACTATAGACACAATTAGATAGTTATATTATCTAGCCCCTCTGACATCATGGCAGGGACTTGGTTTCTTTTTCATTACGGCAATAATTCTACTGTGTTTCTAGCGTTAAAAGCAACAAGGTATATTTGAAAAGTCTTGGACAGAAATCAAAGGTTGATCATTATTCACACGATAAACTTACATTTTGGGACAATCATGGTTTGAAACTTCCATGTAAATAGATGAATTAATAATAGATGAGGCACTTACATATATGATGGGGCATTGTCCTGTTTGGCTTGCAAATCCATATATTTGTTAATATTGTTTGGGGAACTTTAATATGGTTTAAAAATGGGAATGTGATTTTAAATGATATATTTAAAAATTTGGATTTATCATTATATGAAAAACTATGGATATATCAGGCAGAAGCAGGAACAAAAATGATATTTTTTTTAACAGTGAAAAAGAGAACCTATGCCAGGGGTCTTCAAACTTGGCCCTTTTATGACTTGTCGACTTCAACTCCCAGAATTCCTCAGCCAGGTACGCTGGCTGAGGAATTCTGGGAGTTGAAGTCCACATGTCATAAAAGGGCCAAGTTTGAAGACCCCTGACCTATGCAGACTTGCAGAAGTGACCTGAGAAATCTCACAGTAGCTGTGCTGAGCTTTGCAGAGGTAGATGGAGAGAAGCTTTGCTCCTATCAATATACTTTGTGAGCACTTTTCAAATGTTTTCCTGGCCTTACTAAAAGTTCCTTTCTTGAGGGAACTGAATTTTAAAAGAGAATTTTTCAAATAGCCACCTTTGTAATTTTGTAGTTACATTTGTATAATTTCTATTTCATAGGAAAAAGTCTATACAATAACTGTCAATTTACCCTCAGACATTAAATGTCAAATAAGGTCACACTTTAGCTGTTATTGTAGTATATACCTACTGGTGCCAGTTCACATCAAAGGATTTTTTAAAAAATAAATATCTGTGACCTTTTAGGAAATTTGCAAATCTCTTTGTTTCCTGTTCATTGCAAGAAATAATTACACATGCTGTTCAAAGGGTTTCTTAAGATGTCAGGCCTGCTGAATCTATCACTGAAGTATTGAGTCCCACTGAGAAACAGGTGCACAGTTTCTGTGATTCTGTCAGGCATCAATAGCTATTTTGATTTCTCGTTCTTTCGTCAAGAAAACCAGCATTATCTAAACTGAATGTGGAATAGTTGTTGCTATCCTAGTTGTAAGTTATATTGTGCCATGAATAACTCCTGTTAGCTCTCTTAAAGTCTTTTATAATGTTATTGTCTCATTGTCTTCCCCAAAGTCTAATCAATCCAACCACTTATTTCATTTCCCTGATCATTTCTTAAAACTTCATATCAACACACCTCTCCAGCCTCCATCTGATTCTGCTAATCTTCATATGATCTTGCTTATGCAGTATATACGGTAGTATACAATATAGTAAGTCTCAGTGCCAGTTAGCAATTTTATCAACATATCTTTGCATTTAAATATAAGCCTTTGATTGATGTGTGCTTGATTATTTTTCCCCTACACAGTACCATTCATTTTTTAATGTTATGATGTTATGTTATAGTTTAATAACTATAGTCATTGAATATATAGGAACCCACAGATTAATGTAGTTCTCAAAGAAAAATGAGATAAAGTGCATTTTTTTGTTTCAAGGTTCAGGAAAATGGTTAGATCTCTCAGTTCAATGAAACCCAAGGAAATGCAAATCAATAACATCTGAACGATGCTAGAAGCCCTAGCTAACAGAGGGAGCTGCACTGAGAAAATTCAAATCAGGTACATACAGATCTTTCATACATTGAAAATCTGTTTAAGAAAAAGGTATTTTTTTTAAAAAAGAGAATGCTTTAGATTGGATAGAAATTCCAGAACGAATTATGCATAGGCAAACTAAAAGAGATATTAAATCATATTATTTCCCAATAAAAGAAAAGCTATGTATCCATAAGACACAAAAGAAAGACATTTTAACAAAATCTAGCCAGTCTTAAAGGAGAGTAGTAGGCCATCCATATTGCAAGTGCTTTTTCCTTTTGTTTAATGTCTTTGTGAGTAACCACAAACATATCTCTGAGCTCTCCCTCAATTTGTAGCAGTGTCATCATCACAGGAAGCCAGATGGATGACATTTTCTACTAAGGACTGGAGATTACCATCTCTATTTCAGCCACCGGAACTATGCTTTTGTGGTTGGAAGGAGACATGATAACAGATTTGGAATTGTAGCTGAAAATGACAATGTATCTCTAGTTTTCCTTTCTCTGCCCTTAACACCTAATTGTAGGAACATGTAACACAATTTTCCACAGGAAGTCAAGGGATTTTTCATTTCCACCTTCTTCTTATTAGCTTGTAAAGAAGGACACAAGATGTGGCAGCATCACAAACATTTTTTCCAAATGAGGTGTAAGCTAAAGAAGTCAAAAATATTAATACTAGGTTTTGTCATGGAATGTAATAAGAAGGTGGATTCCCAGGAGGGAGGGGGTGCATTCCAGAGGAGTAAGAGGCAACTCATCCATGAACTTATGTGTGGGAGAAAAAGGATGAAGACAGCTCCTTCCTAATACATTGTTGAAGCAGATAGTAGAGAGCTCAGTTTGGGAAGATGTTGTCTATAGGTGTGAAACAATAAGTATGGAAGAATCAACACATATCACTCTTGGTTTTGGGCCTGACATACTCTGTGATGAGAAAGCTATGCAATTGTTTGGATAGTCCTGCCTTATGCTGACCTCCATCTAGCATAAAATAATGCTGCACGATCAATTTCATAAATGGTTTCATTGTAATTAACTTATTTTTGTCAATCAAGATTTCTGGTGAGGTATAGAGACCTGATGATGTCCTTGAAAAATGGGGATGACATTACTGCTGAAACCTATAGCTATATGGAGGAGCTG